AAGCAGGTGGACAGTTACAAGCTATCTATATTGTTCCATGTTGTCCTCAGTGTATACCTTTCTTGTGGCTGGGGCACAAGGGGCTGCCCTCTAGCTCAGAATTTCTCCCACAGCAACTCCCAAGCCCTTGGAGGATTGGCTCTTGTTGCCGTTGCCTACTGGTGCAGAGGAGAGGAAACAAGAGACAAGTCAGACAGTGAAGCTCCAGGTCACCTGGATGTATGGGGGGTGGAGGTGGGGGGCACTCACAAGCAAGAGGGCACTTCCTTATCTCTTCCCCTCAGTACTACATCATCTGAATGGCCTTCCCATTTATTCTCCTCTCCATCAGTAAGAAGCAGCCTGGTATAGATCGCTGTAAGGGAGAGGGAGACATTGGACTACAATACAGCACCTTTCCTGCTGTCCATGAAAAGATTTCCTCCCCAATAAGCATTCTGCATTCCACACCCTTAAATGTACTTCAGTCCCCAAATGTCTAGTACTGTAGAGAGTAAGATAAGGAAAAGCCAAATTTCTGCAAAAACATATGCATGTTGTAGCAGACATTTACTTCCTTCACACATTGTGCTTTCTGTTTTTCCCCCCCAAATTGTCCTTTTATATTAATTTGTCTTTTCATGTGAATGATAAATTGTTTGAGCCAATAAAATACTTCAAATGCAGCAACTTACACAATTCAAGAAACTTTAAAAACAAAGGAGAAGAACTCCTGGCTTGTGTAATTAGCCCAACCTGCAAGTGCTCCTTACCTGGGTTAAGGGCCAGGACTCCTGTAAAAATATAAAAATGCAAATTTATATAACATTTTTTAACCTGAGAGACCACCTCTCTAGGAATTTTGGGTCCTCCACCCCATCTTTATGGCCAACTTCCACCAGAAGCTGACAATAGAATCTCACTGGAGAACCCAGAAATTACTAGAGAGTTGTTCTCTATCAGAATCTCTAGGTCCTTTGGTGCGACTCTGGCTAACATCCAGTGGAATGGAGGACCTACAAATACCTAAAAGAACATTTTAATCAAAGCTGTGAATAATCAAATACGCAAAAGGTCAGAGCCAGACTAAGCATATTTCCTGTCTTTTCCTCAGCAGCCACTATGGGACAGCACACACAGCCAAGAACATTCTTGAAGACATCAGCAACATGTTCGATGACTTAGCTGAGCAGCTGGATGCCATGTTGGACTAAGAAGGCAGGTTCTTTTCCTTGGGGCTGAGCTGTACTTTCATCCTCCCACCATGCTTTGCATGTGAAGAAGAGGACAGTCGTCAAGTGTATGTCTCACTGGGGCCCCTGGCCTCCTGTTCCTGCACTTTCTCACCCAGCAGCCCGTTTGAAGACTGCTGGGAGTCCTCTGCAGCGTGAGACAACCTCAGCCAGAAACTGACACACAGGAGCCTTTCTTCCTCTGAAACGTGTGCACAGCAGACCAGGACAAGATCCACATTGGTGTACATTGATTTGGTTTCCATCTGTGAGGCCTGTAAACAGTGACCACCCACATCTACGCCGACAGAGAGGAGCTGATGGAAGGCGGACTGCTTTGACCAGGCATGGCGGAGGGTTTGATGCCAGGCACTGCTCACCCACACTCGGGCCTCCTCCATAAAGCTATGGACATCCAGTAAAGAGCAGCCCATTCCTCTCTCTTCTTCCGTATGAGTGATGCCAACAACGTGTCAGCTACAGCAACAAAAGGGGTCTTGATTTCCTCAGTGCGGTCCACCACCATGGTTGCCAAAATGAAACTAAATTGGTAGCCTGGAAGCCAGCAGGGCAAGACCAGCCCTTGCTGCTTTTCTAGCCAATCCATACAGGAAGCACCATGTAATCTGGCTGGATTTAAATCCCCCTGTTGCACCTCCTTCCAAAAGAGCTGACAGAACCAATAGTTGTCTAAGCTTCAAGGCAAGCAAAATGGGCCCAACATTTCAACAACAGGCTTTTCACAGGAACTGAAAATTGCCTTCTTTCCTAAGTACTTTGAATTCATGTCTTGAATGCAAGGAAGCAGCAGGCCCATACTGGGAAATAACTGTCTCCCCCGTTCTCACTCAGTAGCTCTCTGGGAGGAAAGTGGGTTCTGTATCATGGAGTGTTCCCTCGTTGCAAATTCTAAAGGGATGCCCAAAATGCCAATTTGCTCTCCTTTGTTGTAGTTATAGGAAAACTATCTTTCCCTCGATTGTGGAGAACTCTCTTCTTGCCCCATTTCGCAATAGGGAACAAAACCCATTTGACAGTCTGTTGGCATTGTTCAAAAATTAAAAGTGGCAGAGTTTGGAGTACAGAGAAGGTCATTTTCCAAGTTCACCTCCTCTACTTCATACCTGTCCACCTCTGAGAGGCCAAGTGTAAGCATGTGGGCATATAATGTGCCTCATCCCTCCCTGAAAGAGGCAGATCTTGCGTGTGTGCGTGCAGCACCTAAGTAAATGTGCCTTAGAGGGTGCCCACCTGAATCATGGCAAGAGCAAGAGAATGGGAGCAAAAAAAATGGCACAGTTACTGCTCACGTAATATAAATAGGCCACTAGCCTGCCAGCTTTGTTTGTAAAATTACACCTGTACGTAGGTGTAATTGTTTCCTAGTGCTTTAAGACTTCTGCCAGCTTGACTATTACAAAGGCAAACATGGCAATTCAGATGTTTAAAATCAGGGCAGTAGACCCTGTCAGCACCAGAAAGGCTCTGCAGATCGAGCCAGGATGGCTCTCATTTTTAGTTTCTCAACAGCAGACCACAGAATGACAGATCTTGAGTCTTCTGAAGGAGATCAAATTCAAATAAAGAAGATGTAGAGTGGAGGGAAATACTAGAATCAAAGGCTGGCAAGGTTTTTGAGCTACAGTGAAGTCTTTTAACACATCTTGGCCATAGAGACAGTTTTCCCTTTCTTTCCACTCTCTTTCTGTCTATAGCATCAAGTGAATTAGTCATCCTCTGGCTGATGCCTAGGGGTAAGAAAATAAAGAAAAATAGCTGCAGCCAGTGGCACTTTAAATAAGATTCTCTAAAAATCTTTTGTTTTCCAGAAAAGGTTTTGAATTTCACTCTAGCTGATTTGGGATGTGTCCAGTATTTTCCACTGTTGATAAAACTGTAATTTTTTTAAAAAAGAAGAAATGTATATATATTTTAAAAAGACGTGGATTTGTTATATATTTACTAACCAGAGTTCTTGTATTTTAGTCTGGGGTTGAACCACATTACTGTCTGAGCCACTTGGGGGCAGTACAATGCTGTTCTTTCTTGTTACCGTAAAGGAGGGAATCCAATATTGGAGGGGAGGGTGTTTATTTTTTTGGTCCTTCAGAGAATGCTTATTTTTTAAGAGCTAGTTGTGTATTTTAAAGACATTGTATGCTGTGTAAATTATGTATGGATGTGATTGTGTCTAACCAACCTGGGTTGTGCCTGCTGTGTCTTGCAGGAAATAACCTGGGGAAACTAGTCCAGAAAAAAAAAAACCATCTAGGCAGACTTCAAGCCATCTGGCCTGCTCGTGTTAATCATGAATTCTTGTTTTCCACTAACATCATCTGCAACATAATGATATTAAACAGTTGGAACTGTTTTCTCTTTTGATGGCTGTGCTTAGCTTGTTGGGTCTTCTCCGTTCAGCCTGTGTGTGGCCATTTTTTCATTTTCTTTGTTGTCTTTAAAACAACTGTTTTTAAGATACAGAAATATGAACATCTGAATCTATGACATGCCTAAATGTATAAAAGATGTTGTGTGTATGCTGCACATGTGTGTCACTTAAAATACACAAAAATTACAATGGGAAGAGAATTTGAGTCCTGCTTTCACCAGGTATTATCTCATGAATAACCAGCAAGAGCTTAAATGTGAAAATCAACTATAAATAGGCTGCAGAAACAAAGGCGAACATCATGTCAGCCATGAATCTAGAATCCCTCATTATTTCAAACTGCATTAGTAAAACGTATTGATTGTCTGAATCTACTTTGCCTCTTTTGTCTGTACTCTCAATTCAGCATTATAATTTTTTCCACTGTAAAATGGAGAAGAAAGAAGTAGTTCATCAAAACAATTGGGGAGAGAAAACAGACATGAACCAGTCAATTTTGCATAGTACACTCACAAACATGACACAGATATATGAAGCCAGAAGGTGTTAGCACTGTAGTGGCTGGCAATGTAATTTCGTGCACATCTAGTAAAAAAAAAAAAAAAAGCCCAAGTGGACTAACTCCCATGGAACAATGAACTTCGAGACAAAAAGTCTCTGATTCACATCTCACTCTGGCTATTCAGTACAAGACAAGCCCCATCAATACTACTATTCTCAATCTAAAAGATTAAAAAAGGTAAGGTTTTCCCCTGACATCAAGTCTAGTTGTGTCCAACTTGTGGGGTGGTGTTCATCTCCATTTCAAAGCCAAAGTCAGCGTTGTCCATAGATGTCTCCAAGGTCATGTGGCTAGCATGACTGCATGGAGAGCCGTTACCTTTCCGCCAGAGCAGTACCTATTGATTTACTCACATTTGCATGTTTTCGAACTGCTAGGTTGGCAGAAGCTGGGGGCTAACAGCAGAAGCTCACCCCGCTCCCCAGATTTGAACTGCCAACCTTTCAATCAGCAAGTTCAGCAGCTCAGTGGTTTAACCTGCTTTGCCACCGGGGGCTCCTAATCTACAAGAATGGGGTCAAGAATATGCTCCTGGACTGCTTCTCCCAGCTGTTTTAAAACAATGTGGCCAGTGAGAAGGAATGCTGGAAGTTGCAGACCAGCAAAAATAGCCACATTATTCTACCCCCACCTTGTAGGGCTGTTGCAAGTATTGTATTCTACATTTCAAATGATTTAAATGTAATTGCTGTTGCAGACAGCTTTCTTGATACCCCTCTCTGCCCCAGTGTTTCAGTAGCATCCAGCACATGGGAGGGATACCCTGGACAGAGGCAGCATCCATCCAAGCCCATCCAGCACCTGTCCCCAAAGATAAAGACTCCCTCAGAAACAAGCATACTGTATCAAAGACAATCATTTATTACCATTCGTATCAGGTGCTCTTTGTTTCCTTTTTTATACAATTTACAAGTTTTAATAATACAAATATATTTTACATACATCCCCAAAAATGTTTTAAATATAAAATATACATCATTTAAAAACAGTTTGATGGACTGAATTCACTCCTAAAGCTGTGCCCACCCTCTTCTGAAGCCCTGGCTGTGGAGAAGGAATGGAGTCACAAGGCCTTTTAAGAGACAGCCTGTGTGTTCTGACTCTTGTAGGAGAGGAGGTATGTCTGAAAGTGCTAGGATGAAAATCACATTCCAAGTTGTCAGCCATCACAGACAAAAAGAAAAAAAACAGACAGAAAATGTCACCTCTTGCAGGACAACTACCCAGCTCAGTCTTTTGTGGGTCACAATCCTAAGAACATTCCTGTGGCAAATGGATGTAGGCATCTAGAACTCCCAAATGACTTAGAAATAGGAGAGGCAAGGGAAACTGCTAAAATGTGGCTACAAAAATTAAGACAGCTGCCCTTTTCCTAGCAGAGCAGTCTAGTATCACAGATACACACAGGCCCAGCACCTCTAATGGGTGCAAGCCAGGTATCTGTAGCTCAGGCCAGTTCTCACGCCAGCAACAAGTCTGGCACTGGGAAAAAGACAGCAGCACACTGGCTAATGTATGAACCAGAGTACATTCCCTGGTCCTAGAGGCCCACCATATATAGCTCACATGCTGTGAAAAGACAACAAGGCTTTAGCAATGTATTGGGAGGAGCAGAGTTCAAAAAAAGGAGGGGAGAGGAAGAGTGATTTTTAGACAGCAACTTATTTTGAAATATAAAAAGTCTGCTGTTCAAATCCCTAGCCAAAGTCAAACATGGCTTTGAGAAATCTATAGAGATCTTTAAGGAACATAATCTAGCCCTGCTACAGACAAGATATCGATCCTCATCATCACCAGCTAGAAGGAAGCTCAATAGCAACTGAGGTTATCATCTAGCAAAGATAAATGCCATTTCACTCAGGAGAGAAGAGTTAAATACCACCCCTACTTTTCGGGGGGGGGGGGGGTTATGTGCCATGGGTTCAGCACTATGGCCAGTTCAACAATCATGGCCAGTTGGTTTGACTCCAGTCTGTAAAAAAGAACCGTTTTCAACAAGGTTATTAATGCCTTTGCAATGGTGGGTCAGGATCTGAACACATTTCAGATATTGACCCAGAATGACCACAGCTGTCTAGGCCTGTTCTCTCAAACTAGGTGACTTCCAGATGAATTGGACTTGCCCTGCTAGCTGGCAATGATAGGACACAAGGCCCAATACACATGAAAAATATCAGATCAGAAAAAAAACTGTACTAGCCATTCTACAGTATCCCATAATGCTTCATCAAAAAAGCTTTGCCTGTCCAGCAAATGCCCTGTTATCTAAATTTGACTGAGAAAGTAAAAATCCCTGTGTTTACAAAGCAGGTGCTGCTGGCATTGTCCCCAAAAGAAGCAACATGATGGAGGCTGGTCATAGAGGTAGTGATTTTGATTCCTTCCTGCCAAAAAAACCTTCATAAAAACTGGCAAGTAATAAAGAAGAGGTAACAAGGAAGATGCAAGTGCCCTCCCAGTTTTGGATGAGCTCCCCTCCAGACTGGCTCTGTATTTAGAAAGAGATTGTGGCGTGGTGGTGGTGCAGGGATTGTGTCTACCACCATCCACATCTTCACCAAATGAAATCAAGCAGTGACATCCTCCTAAACTGCAGGGAGGATTCAGGTGCAGCAGAGAGAGTCTAGTTGCTGATTTTGAAAAGCACAATGTCCAGCCTTTGGATATAAGGCAGGAAGAGATGTGGGCAAAGCCAAGATTGCTTTTAAATGCACTCTCACATTGAAAAAAATACGTAATCAGTGTCAGAACACAAACATCATGGAACATGTTTTTTTCCATGTACATATGAGTGCGGGGACTTCCATGTTTGGACACTCATGAGGTCTATCAACGGGGACGGGGGATAGGGAGGGTGAGGGAAAGATCAAGAGACAAATCCAGGATATTTTGAAGTGTTGGGTACTAAGAGGGAGTCTCCTGATGGCCCAGCCAAGATGGCCACAGAAATATTATTCATTCCCTAGAAAATTCTCCACTACGGAAATGAAGGACCTGGGCTGTTACACACTTTACATTCTAGAGGAATTTGACCACAGTAACTGCTGACAAAGTTACGCTCTTGTGGACAAACCTCCAAACATTTCTGCTTGGCATACTACAATCTTGTTCATCTGATGCAAGAGAGCCCTGCCACCCATGCTGGGACAGCAACCTTTGTGAGGAGGAGGCTGCTGTCCCTCAGAAGCCCTCAGAGGCTGCTGTCCCTCAGGGCGAGCGACCAGGAAAGGTGGCTTCTATTCCCTCCTAGGGAAACGATGCTGTGCTCCCCTGAACCAATAAGTATGATCTTATTTAAGGGAAGCAACTGACAAGGAGGTCACCAAGGCAAGAAGGATATGTATGCATGTGCATGTGTGAGGATGTTGTCAAGAATGAAAAGTTGGGAGAAAAGAAAATCAGGATGGGTTTTCCTTGCATAAGGGCACACTCTTGCATCCAAGTCAATCAGATGGATTCCAAGGGAAAAGTTACAAAAATAAATAACCCAAGTAGCAGCAGTAGCAGCAGCAGCAACACATGTATCACTAATGTCATTGCCGTGGCGTTGCATCTTCACCTGCTTCTTCTTCTCCTGCTGGAGCCATCACTTAAGGGTTGGTCTGTCTTGATCCACTCCTGCCACAGGGATCCACATGCAAGGCTGGTTTCTCTCTCCCAGCAAAGGGACGTGACAATTTGAAAAAGTGACATGCAGCCTTTAGGCCCCTTGGAGCACCTAGAATGGAGAATTCATGCCCAGCTTGGTTTCAAACTGCAGCTTCTGTCTCTTCTGATAACGGACTCGAACCCTGAATCAGAGAAGGGAGGAGGAAAAAAAATGACAGCACATTCAGTTGAGTATGCCTATCTGAACTGCTTGAGACCAGAAGTGTCTTGGATTTGTTTTTATTTTAGATTATTTTCATATATATAATGTGGTCGCTTGAAGATGGAACCAAGTCTAACCATGAAATTAATATGCATCATATAAAAGTAATTTTATTCACAATGTATGTAATAATTTTGTGTATAAAACAAAGTTTGTGTGCACAGAACCATCAAAAAGCATGAGAAGTTGGAGCTGACAGACAGGGCTCACCCCATTCCCTGGATTCAAACCACCGACGTTTTGGTCAGCAGTCCTGCCAGCACAAGGGTTTAATCTATTGCACCACCGGGAGCTCCACCTCTGCCATGATATGGGCTCAGAGCAAATGACTGTAAGTCTGAGTCACCCTATCCTTCACAGTGTGTAAAGGATGGTAACAGCACTTACCCACCTCACAGAGCCGTGGTAAAAAATGCCATGATCACACAGTAATATGCTAGGAGAAATGGAGATGAATTCTATAATATGTTCCAGCAATGCACTATAAGAAAGCCCACTTACCTGATCTCATGGAGCTTGACTGTTTCATTGATGATGACGACAAAGATAAGAGAGAGCAAACCCAGCAGCCAGGAAGCCATGGGAATGTCATGCATTTGGTAGGTCACGGGAGACTCAAGGTTTACCCAGAGTGTTAAGTCCAGGAAGGTCTGGATGACCTGACCCAACAATCTGCCATAAAAAGAGAGCAAGACCTGAGCAATATATCCGCTTGAAATAACTTTTTAGCTTGCATATTCTGGTCCTGTGGGATGGAACATAGGGCCTTTGTTGTTGCTAGATCCTCAATGTCTTTGCCAGAATGCTCAATGGAAAAGGATAGTGGAAGTTGCAATCCAATAACATTTGGAGGGTCATAAATCACCCATATTTGGTTTAGAAGTATTTGTATCACCATAATTAATGACTACATCAGAGAAATGGGTAAAGGTAAAGGTTTTCCACTGACATTAAGTCCAGTCGTGTCTGATTCTGGGGGTTGGTACTCATCTCCATTTCTAAGCCAAAGAGTTGGTGTTGTCCGTAGACACCTTCAAGGTCATGTGGCTAGCATGACTGCATAGAGCACCGTTACCTTCCCGCTGGAGTGGTACCTATTGATCTATTAACATTTGCATGTTTTCAAACTGCTAGGTTGTTAGAAGCTGGGACTAACCACGATAGCTCACGCCACTCCCCTGATTTGAACCTGTGACCTTTCGGTCAGCAAGTTCAGCAGCTCAGCGCTTTGACCCACTGCGCCACCGGGGGCTCCGCAGAGAAATATCTAATACTCTTTGAGAATATGGATTAAGGTATTTCAAGTTTGAGGTAGGGCAGCAAGGAAGCACATGCTGAAAATCATTAAAGACTAATACCACAAGTAAACAGTGGACAGAAGAGGTAAGGACAAAGACTGGGTTCGTGTTGTAAGTGCTCTGATTGTCAGGCTCTCTGACTGTGTTCCTGCATGGAAGAGTATTCCAACTCTAGGATTCTATTGAAGTTGAAAATCAAGAAACTGCACAACTGAGCCGAAAAAGTCTGATTGGATCCAGTTTCTGCCCATTAGAACAGACCAGGAAACTATACTCACACAACCACCACGGTCAGGGTCCACCAGAAGTTAGTGAAGGGGCTTTTTTTCCACAGTGGTTTGGTACGATGGACATGGGTGACAGATATAAATACTGTGAAGAAAACATAAAATGTTCCTTTACAGATGTCCAGAAAAAGAGCCTTGCTTCATTGATAAAACCCAGGAAACTACATTTAGCAATCTACATAGCCCTTTACTACACTAAAGGAACCAGCCTATATTCTTCTTGCCACTTTTCATGTTGTTAGGCAGATTGATTGATTGAGTACTGAAGTACCTTATAACAGGTCAGTGACAAATGTTTACTGCAATACTGATCAACAAGGTATTTTCTTTTTTCCTCTTCAGAAGAGGAAAAAAGCTCTCAGAAAATGGACTTCCTCCTTTGCTTTCTCAGATTTTGACTAGTCTGACAGACGTTATTCACTTCTGAAAAGATCATGCACAAGTTCAAGTTAACCCAGGAAGAGCTTAAGTCAAAGAGTTACTCTCACCAGACAGCTAAAGAAGCACTGTCTTAGGTATATTTGGGTCTGTACTTGCTGTAGTTATCTTTTTGACAGAATCTGCTTTATTTGCATGCATAGCATTGTAAATAAAACACTGGGTTTTTTAAAATAAAGTATATCTTACTATAATAGTCATATGTGACATAGAATTGTGCCTCTATGGAGAGACTTTCTCCCCCTCCTGCATTATAAGACAATAATGAATAGTCAACTCTCCTTCTCAAAAATATGTGAGAAATAAAACATTAGAGGTTTGCTGTCATCTTCAGAACCATAACAAGAGTTTACATTTTTTTCCCAGTCTTCAGATAACCTTTTATAAAGGATTTTCTGTAGGCAACCCCATAGTGTTGTGCTTCCCCATTGTTTGAATTTTGTCAGAAAAAAAATCACATAACACTATAGAGCTGAATCCTAACCAGCTCTTCATTTTATTCATGCATGCCAGCCCTCTCCTCATTCCCACAGCAAAACATATGGAAAGGGAATACTTACCAGTGTGTAAGACAATCGTTCCGGCTGTAAACTTCTGAGCCAGAAGAAGAATATTGGAAAATGATCCAAACCAATCAGGGGAGGGTTCTACACCTCTGAGAAAGAGAAAAGAGATCAATTGGGTTTAAAGGCATGACTGTATCTCATCCAAATGGATGGCACATAAGGGGAATTTTGAAAATCCTTTGTAATTTAGGTAAGATAATCTTATTAGTTTTTTTAACAGTTGAGACAAATAACTTAAAAGCTATCTCTACTATCATCGATGAAAACTGCATTTCTGTTAGTGAATGGTTGGTTGTGTAAAGATCCTTCTGTGCAGTAAGGCCTGTCGGGATCGATAAAATTTGTTACTGGTCACCAGCTATGTTATAAGCGCTGCCTAACAAATGTTAGTGTTTGCTAATCCTACAACTACACACACACACACAACCCCAACTGTGCTCAGTCACTGACCCTCTCATTCCATTGTTTCTAGCTTTGTAGTAAACCAGGGAGTTGTGCAAGCCACACCTGAGAGAATTGGGAGCCATCATATTCCAATACTCCTTCACGCAACACCCAGAAGATCCTGGCCATTTCAGATTTTGGCTTTGGATCATCACACAACTCCATAATGCTGAGGACCAACTAGAAAAGTCCATCCTTGGGAAGTGATAGATCTACATAGTTTTCTACAAACATTGTGGGGGGCACGTTCCTGCATACATCTCTCAGAGGACCTTTTCACCAGCCACCCCAAGACTGTGGAACAACCTGCCTGAAGAGTTCCAATAGCTAAATCAGCTGTTGGAATTTAAGACACAAGTGAAGATCTTCTAGCAGGCCTAGAAGATCCTGGATTTTAAACGCGTGTCCTGTGTTTTAATCTCTGTTTTGTGTATTTTAATAGGTATTTTATAGAAATATGTTTTAATATGTATATTTTCTAGAAATACTGTTTTTAATGTTTATGTGTTTTAACTATGCTGTCTTGAACCATGAGGAGGGGGGGGGGAGAAATAAAATTATTATTATTATTATTATGACTGATGACCCAGTTGGTAGTCAATCTCTAGAATATGGCTGTGAATCAAGCAATTGACATAATGACTCCCAATACTCGCTCTCTCTCAGGTATCACCTGCACAACTCCCTGGCTTACTACAAAGCTAGAAATAATGACATGAGAGGGTTAGTGGATTAGCAATGGAATGCTAGAAAATATAGTTCAGAGCATCTAGGCAAGTAGGTGATTCTCATCCTAAGGTCCACGCCTTAGTCACCTCTAGACTGGATTACTGCAATGCACTCTATGTGGGGCTGCCCTTGAAAACGACCCAGAAATTCCAGATGATCCAACGGGCGGCAGCCAGGTTGTTAACTGGGGCTCCTTACAGGGAGCGGTCATCCCTCCTGTTCAAGGAGCTCCACTGGCTGCCATTCATCTACCAGACCCAATTCAAGGTGCAGGTTCTTACCTACAAAGCCCTGAACGGTTTGGGACCCGCCTACCTGCGTGACCGCATCTCTGTATATGAACCCACACGATCCCATGGATCATCCGGAGAGGCCCTGCTCTCGATCCCACCAGCATTGCAGGTGCGATTGGTGGGGACGAGAGAGAGGGCCTTTTCGGTGGTGGCCCCTCAACTCTGGAACTCACTCCCTAAAGATATCAGACAGGCCTCAACTCTGGCAGTCTTCAGGAGGAGCTTGAAGATGTGGCTGTTGCAGTGTGCCTTCCCGGAATAATGTTCCCATAGCACTTTGTCCTCCAAAGCACTTTACATTTCTTTAGGTCTGCTTGTATGCCCTTCCACAAACACCAGTATCACCTTTCATCCATGTCCGAGCATTATTTCCAATTTTAACTCTACATTTGGCCTTCCCACTCTTTTTAAATTGCGTGTTGTCTTATTGATAATGTTGTATTTTTATGGTCTATGTTTTTAATTGCTTGTATTGTTGTTATTATTGCTTGTATTGTTGTGTTTTGGGCTGGGCCTCATGTAAGCCGCACCGAGTCCCTTGGGGAGATGGTAGCGGGGTACAAATAAAGTGTTGTTATTATTATTGTTGTTGTTGTTGTTGTTTAACAAAATTTGAAGCTATCGGAGACTATCAAAGATTCAGAGTTTTGGCAGAAATTGCAATTTACTTCAATTGTAAATTCTTCCTTGCAGCCAAGATGATTAAACTGGGACTGTTGTATTTTGGCCATATCATGAGATGATATGACTCATTAGAAAAGATAATCAATATTTGGAAAGGCAGAACGCTTAAGGAAAAGAAGACAAACACATCCCAGATGGATGGACTCCATCAAGAAAGCCACTGCTCTGAGTCTATAAGACCTGAGCAAGTCTATTGATGATAGACTTAGAGGTCTCTCATTCTTGGGGTTGCTATAAGTCAGGCCTGCACAACATGTGGCCTTCCAGGTCTTTGGGGCACCAACTCCTAGAATCCCTAGCCAGTGCATTCAACAGTCATGAATTCCAGGAGCTGAAGTCCAAAACACCCTGAGGGCCACAAGTTGTGAAGTTCACAGCAAACTATACCTGTAGAGCAGTGGTTCTCAACCTGTGGGTCCTCAGGTGTTTTGGCCTACAACTCCCAGAAATCCCAGCCGGTTTACCAGCTGTTAGGATTTCTGGGATTTGAAGGCCAAAACATCTGGGGACCCACAGGTTGAGAAGCACTGCTGTAGAGACAAAGGAGCACAAATCTATACTCAATGTCTCCTTTCCCTCTATCCTAGCTTTTTAGCCTACTGTTTTAGGGCCAATTTAAAATTCCATCAAATCCAAATAAAAAAGCCCTTGACAATCAAGGCATTAAAAAAACAACTTTAAAATCAGTGGAAATTATCCATACCTACCCTGCTTAATGATTGAAAACTACTACATATGTCAAGAATGGTACCCTACCTGTGCAGCGTGATGGAAGAGCAGCCTGTGACATTTACATTGAAGGCAGAGGAGTTGAAGTTTGCACAGTAATCTTGCAGCATGTAGCCAAAGCAAGCCAGGCAGGAACAGATGGTGAGGCTGAATTTCAGCAGGAAGCAGAACAGGAAGTAGTGCTGAGTCTGCAAACAAGGCCAGGGACAACCGCCGTCACTTACAGAACCTGAAGCAACAACTTGCTTGGTCCTACTGTGCCTGCCCATACCCTCCTGTTTGTCAGCTGCAGCCTCAGAGAAGACAGCCAGCAACTATTGGCTAAGAAGCCTGTTTCACGCTACTCTTTCCTTGCCAGGAGTAATAATGGGGAAACGAGTATGATAGTGATAGCAAATTGATGGAAAAGATGAATTTTCTGGAGAAACAGAGAGATGCTGGCCACTACATTGGTGTGAGGATTATGTGTCATGGAACTGAAGGGTAAAAAACCAATCCTTTTTTCTGAAATAAAACAAGGCCATTTTTCAACCAGGCATTACCAGAGGGACTTACCGCCCTTTTCTTCCTGATCAGCCCAAATGAATAAAGATTGAGTACATGTGTGACTGGTTGCACCTCTAGGCGTTCCTTTCTCATCTTCAAGTGGTATATCAGTTATAACAGAAGAACCACATAAACCTGGTATTTCTACTTTGATACTAGCTAAAAACCTAGGAGGGGTTTTGCTCGCAGAAATAGATCGCAATGGACTTGGGGGAAGAGGGGACAATATTTCCCACAAGACTTCATGATAGAAAAAAGATCCTTTATCACAGGAAACAATGCTATTTGGCAACACAGGGCAGAAGCCATGGCAATAAAAAATGAAGATGTCTTTGCTACCATTAAAGAGGAAACTCTCAGATCTTATTCTTGTTCAATCACATTTATCACATGTAAACATGATTTCCTCTATCTGTTTCATCATTTCCCACCCTATAATAACCCAAGGAATCACACAGACTCAGTCATGTTACTCAGGTAACCTCTCAAGTTCCAAAGATCAACCAGGGATATTCAGAGAACCCCCAGTAAGGCCAGCAGAAATTTTCTCCAACAGAAACCTATTGGGGCCTACTGTTTTCAAGAGATAGATCATTCTAGCAAGACTGTCTTGACTTGAACCAGTGGCAGCCACTCTCTCAATCCTGCCTCTCATCAAGCTTCACTGTGTGCTTTAAGGTAGATATATTAAAATCCTGGAAAAATGTGGTGCTGTAGCCTTCATAACCCCTAAGAGGACTCATGTTTCTCAAAGCCATCTCTTTTAGCCTAGTAGATTGCCTATTTGAATAGAAGGAAACAATGCTCCTCCCAAACAGCCACAAGGCACAGCTTGGAAATGCTGAGGCAGCATGGCTTAGGGCCAAACTAGCTCATACGTTAAGTGCATGTATGCATTTATCACGTCTGCACACAGAACAGGGTATTTAATTTCCCCCTGCCAAACCACAGTCCTAAGGAAATGAAAGTGCATTTCATTTCATTCCAGTGAAATTTTCCAAAGAAAAATTTCCCCCTACTTAGTTCCAGGAGGGAAGCTCCCTTTGGCAGGAATGGAAGTTTCCTTCCTGGGTTTAATAGCAACTTGTAATAAATAATAGGGGATATCCCTTGAAATGTGATGTGAAAGGGTTAAAAAAAAATCCTTCTATGCCATTATAATCCTGATTGCATGTGTACATGTGTACAAATCCTACATAATGAGAAGAAATATGAACAACCCAACTTAATTAGAAAAGGCAGATGTGATAAATGCATATTTGTATTTAATGCATCATCTGGTTTGACTTCAGTTGCTTGGGAAGGTGGATTGAGATAGAGAGACAGAGATACCAAATTCCTCTAGTCCTAACACATCAGCAGGAAACTTTGTTACATATCTTGCCATATGCAGAAGGAGGCAATACAATTTCCAAAAGTTTGACAGTCTACCCCCTTGGATTCTTAATATTTAGCTGACTGGCAAAATGAAAGCTAGATTTCACATCTTCTGCAGTCCCTAATGTCATATGTGAGAAACTGATAGAACAATGTGTAGTTGAAGGCTTTGATGGCTGGAATCACTGGGTTGCTGTGAGTTTTCTTGCTGTCTGGCCACGTTCCAGAAGCTTTCTCTCCTGACATTTCACCCACTTCTATGGCAGGCATCCTCAGAGGTTGTGAGGTCTTTAGGAAACTAGGCAAGTGGGGTTTATATATTTTGCCTAGTTTCCAACAGACCTCACAACCTCTGAGAATGCCTGCCCGAAATGTGGGCAAACATCAGGAGAGACTGCTTCTGGAACATGACCATAGAGCCCAGAAAACTCACAGCAACCCAGCTGCTAGGACAATCACAGTAACACCTTCTGACAGTTTCTAACATCCTGCTGCATTTGAATCTTTTCTTACCTTTTTAGGAATTGAGGTCAGATTTTTCCCAGTGGCCATAGACATGATGGAGCTATGGGGTGGCTTGCCCAGAAGGGAAACACTTGGAAAGAAATTAAAACTGGAATTAGCCTTGAATTGTTGTTTGCAAAAATTAGATTGTAATGACCATAGAAAGCTGCCTTTTGTAGAATCAGAACATTCCTCTATCCTGCAGAAAATTTTCTGCAATGGTGTGTGTGTGTGAAAACTTGTGGCCCCTCTAAATGGAATTGATTTCAACTTCCAGAATCCCCCACCACTGCAAAGGCTTCCTAGTGCTACTAGCAGCTTCATCTTCTAGGGACATATCCTCATGTGCAAACATATCTATGTATTCCGCCCCCACCCATATTTAGCAGAGTATTTTCAATGCTACATAAATAGAGATTCTTTCATTCCCCTTCCCAATATGAAACAATAGGAAACAGACACTTCAGTCTTGGTTTCCCACAGCTCTCCTCCCCCTCTCCAACATCTCAATCATTGCCAAGATGTGAGGAAAAATTTATGCCAAACTGATGGCATATGCAAGCTTTCTTTGCATATGTCAAAAAATACAGAGGCACAATTAAATCTGCAATCCACTGCAAATAAAACCAAGGCATGAAGCAATCAACTGGGACTTTGGATAAGGACTCAAAATGCCCATTGTGGAAATCTGCACATGCAAATTCCAAACAAGAAACAAGTAGAAATGATTCCTCATGACACTAGGTTCACACAGAGGTACTTGTGGACAAAAGCAGGTCAACAGATATGTCAGCTTTCTTACAGAGGGTATCTATGTTCCAGCACTAACAGAAACAAAAGCATTCACATTCCATAGTTAATGTCAAGGAATAGAGTCCCATGGGCAAAGAACTGCTGCTGTATAAATCCATGTCTAGCAGCCTCCAATATCAGTCCCCATCTTTTATAATAACTTTATTCTTATATCCCGCCACCATCTCCCCAAAGGGACTTGGGGTGGCTTACAGATGGCACAAAGTGCCCAAAAATTAAAGCACAAAATGCATTATATAAAATACAATAAAATAAAACACGTACGCTTATTGAAACATCTTTTCTTAGAAAGGGAAACCAATACTTAATCAAAAGGCTCTGTCAAGAGGAACATGCTTATGGATCACAGGGAGGGACTTACCTTAGCAATGGGTAGCAGAAGCAAGAAAGCCACAAAATGTCTGTGGTACTGAGAATGGGAGGCAGCTGCACCAGGCAAGAGAGGAACTAGGCAGGAAAGAGCAAAGGACACAATCAGTAGCAGCACTGGAAGACTCCAAAAGCACCCATTAAGCAAGACTGCCCACCTATTTTGAAGAAGGGTAACCAGAGAAAAGAAGAAAATAAGGGAAAAGTGCTCCTAAAGTACTGCTAAGGTTGCCTGAAGGAAGTAGAAGAACGGCTTCTGCTCTGCTTTCCTAGGATTGCTCGAAGATATGTAGCAACCCAGATTTGTATATGTAATTAGACACTTCTAAGTTCTTAGGAAGAAAAACAGAAGCCAAGACAGAAGCTCTTTGATCTTGAGAGGTTCATCAGCTGGTGCGAAAGCGTTGTTTTCTTCTCTATATTCTACATTTGGTTTTTTGTATTTTAAAACTGTAAATCAACTTGGTGCCTTGGCAGAAGAGAGGAATGTAAATGTGATCCATCATCAGGAACCTAAGTAATAAACTGGCAACCTTCTTTTACATATAGAAAGTAAGAAAACAGGAGTACTCCGTTATTGTTAAGAAAGTAATGTCTTCCTCCTGAATCAATGTAGCTAAATTGCAAACCACTGACCTTTCCTTGTAAGAGACTCCTGAGAATTATCAAAAATGCCCAGAAGTCTGGGGAGCAACCTAGGAGCATCTTTCATTATATAGAGCAGAACTACCAGCAATTCTACATGCAGTATGAGATTTCTCAATTAGACTTATTGTATATAAGGCTGAAAAAGCCTCCCACAGCTTATACTCAAATCAAAGTTATTGATTATTTTACCCTGTTGTTGTTGTTATTGTTACAGTATTATTATTATTACATTTATTATTTTACTATTATTATTATTACATTTACATTATTTTACTCTATTTATTAGTTATAATTACATTACTATTTAACACTCTTTGTTCTTATTGGAAGGATACGTAAACACCTTTACACTGAAGGAGGTTAGAATCAAAGTTGGACAGTCTTATCTTAAATTACAGTTTTATGTAAATATTCAAAAACATTTAACCTACAGATGCCTCAATTAATGTAATTTTATTGGTATCTATTTTTATTTTGAAATTTACCAGTAGCTACTGCATTTCCAACCCTCTGCTTATACTTGAGTCAATACGTTTTCCCAGTTTTTTTGTGGTGAAATTAGTTGCCTCAGCTTATATTCGGGTCGGCTTATACTTGAGTATATACGGGGTATTTACAATAATGCCTTTTTATTTTTTTCAAAGAAAGAAGTCTTTTGCTCATTTACTTTTAACCCCACAGGAGCACAAGGGGAAGCACAAAGGCAGCCTCTCCTAAATTCTTGCAGAACAAATGGACAAAGATACAATGCAAGTCTTATCAGTACCAAGGAAAGGAAACCCCCGCTTTCATCCCAAGATAAAAATGCCTGTTGTGCTTCCTGCTGCTCCTTAGTATAGCTCACCTGGATAATGACCAGAGTCAACTGACACTGTAGCAAGAACAGGAAACACTTGCGAATGCCATATGTTGCATGCCGAGCCTGAAAAGAATCACACATTATGGAATGATATGCTAGTTGTGAGCAAAGAAGCAGATCCTGCATGTGTATCAAGGATGAATAAAGGGTTGGCCCTATAGATACTGTTCAATTATAAATGACACCATTCCTCAGCACTGGCATTCCAGAGAGTAGTCCAAGAACATCCAAAGAGCCACACTTCTGCCACTTCATGCAGAAGCTGTTGCATAGGGATACAAATTGGGACCTGTACAGCTATTTCATGGAAATCAATAACAATACAGAATGTTAATAATCAAGAATATTTGGGTGGCATGATTGTAGTAAATTATTCTACTTTCAAAACCTGGATCAAAATATTAAAAAATGGGGGGAGGGGGTATTTTAGCCTGTTAAGTATTTTCTCAGCATCAAGAAAAATAAAGATTGAATTTTTCAGGGGGTTGGACTAAATAGCTCTAGTGATCTCTTCCCATGTTATAATTCTATGATTTTAACATCTTCATTAATATACTACTCACAAGAGAACAGAAATACCTATATAAACTGTTATATTGGTTTGACTGTGACTCTGGAGACCAGGGTTTAATTCCTCATTTGACCATGAAACCCACTGTGTGGCCTTGAGTAAATCACCTCTGATAGTATCGACTTAGGGTCACCATAAGCTGAACACAACTTGAAGACACATAACAACAAACAAAAGTAATAAATATAAAACAATTTGACTCACCTGTTCTATAAGTCTAATGATCCCAATTGTCTCTTCAGGATAAATAGACAGGGAACAAGACAAGCTGTTCAGCTGGCCCGATAGTTGAAGAGGTGTGAGCTCATCAGAAATGCGGGTCATGTTAGTGCTGGTGGCATAACCAAATGTCTCCCAAGAGCATCGGGAAGGATAAAGAGGATCCAGTGCTATGCTGCACAAGTAACATTACGGAAAATATAAAAAGCAAGAGAGTCAGATTTTATTATGCTATTTTATATTGTTTATTTTATGTGTTATTTTATATTTTCGTTATGATGTAATTTCTTATTATTTTATGTTAAATCTTGTTGTATTATTTTGGGCCTGGCCTCATGTTAGCTGCTCCAAGTCCCCTTTGGGGAGATGGTGGCGGGTTTATTTATAAAGTTTTATTATTACCTGGCTACACATCCTGGAAATACAATAATGACTTTAAATAGAAATAAACTAGCAGAATAAGCCAGGGCTAAACCAGGATAACGCTACTAGGGGCTAATAGTCATGAGGAGTAATGGTCATGTTACAGTTACCAGTGGCTAATAATGCTAAACTACAAAGCACACTTCTCAGTTGCTGAGGAACAACCAAGGAAAGAGGGCTATTGCTCTCCTGCCCTGCCTTTTGCCTTCCCAAAGACACCTATCAGAAAACCAGAAGATCACAGATGGCAAAAAAAAAACAAAACATGTTTCCCATCCTGTGGGAAAACAGGATGCTGAGCTAGATTGTCCTTCAGTCTGATCCAACTTAGTTTGTCTTAAGACTTCTTGGCCATCTAAAGAAAAGCAGTCAGCTCAGCATCCACTGCTGAATGGAAAACTTGGTGATCCCTATAAATCTGTCATTCCTCACCACCAGCTAAGCTGGGCTAGAGCTAATCCAGAATTATCAAATGGGTCACACATTTCCTATCTGAAATAATTCTACACTATAACATGTGGTATATATAAGGTAAACCCAAGTAAAGAAATAGCACTGATTCAGTCTCAGTGGTGCTCTGCATGTGGACATCAGAGCCGTTTTGGAATAGATGAGATATATCTCTGATCCAGCACTACAATTCTACAGAGGCCAAACAGTTGACTTCTGGAAATCCATGAGCAAGACATACATGATAAATAATAAAACTTTATTTCTCTCTCATCAACATCAAATAATAATGAAACATTATTATTACATAAATGAAGGAGCATCTTCCTTTGCTTCCTATTAACTGACACACTGAGACTATTGTGAACCATAGACACCAATGGCCCCATCCTCCTGAGTTTGTCCAATCCATTGCTAATGCCATCCAGGTTGATGACTGTCACTACTTCTCGTAGTAGCTAACTAGATATAACTATACATTACTGCCTACAATGGAGCCAACACAGAAGCCATCACAAAGGTCAAACTGGGAAAAGAATGTGGCAGGTAGACAACAAATTGGAAGGGACACAAGGGCCATCCAGTACAACCTCCTGTCAGTGAAGTTAACGTATTCTCATGGGAAAAAAACCATCTGGCTTCTGTTTAGAAACCTCAAAAAAATCTTCCAAAACAAAAATCCATTCCACTACTCTTACATTCAACAGCTCTTGCTTTCTTATTGTTATAACATGCCTTCTAATATTAAGCATGGATTCCTCAAAGCAAGAAGACCAAACCAAGTTCTTGTCTCCCACTCTGATTGCCCCACATCCACACACACACACCACGCAACTTACCTAATGTCACTCTGGAGGAAAAGGCAATTGTTTCGTAGGTTGGCACTGCTGCCCAGGCAGCACGTGACCTCCCCATATTCCTGCATGATCTTGATCATCTCACACATGGCTACGAGAGAAAAGAGGATAAACCTCAACACAGAGACATGCTCCGCAGTTATCTGTATGGTTATCCTACTCTAGTCAATAAAGAATAAAGAGTAATGTGATTGTCACTTACTTTCTGGGGTGCAATCAGTAAACAGAGGAACGAGCAAAGGCACGTTGTCAATGTTCTGCAAGTGGGGCCTCACCTGGTGGATTCCCCGGGGAAGTTTGGCCTGGAGTAGAAAAAACAAACAAGCAAAAGACACATGTGGTATTGTTCCAATTATGACAAGGGATAATAGAAATACCATCTTATTCCCTACAGACAGAGTGATAGGGCAGAACAAGGGTGTTCCTCTATACATTTTTTGAACAGATTGAGTTGCGCTAGATTAGAAGAAACTATAAAGTCACTCTTGCTATGAAGAATTTTGTTCCCTTATCTGGAATTGTGAAATCCAAAATACTCCAAAAATCAAAATTGTTCACATGGGTGGCAGAGAGAGCAGCACCTTTGTTTTCTGATAGCTCAATGTACAAAAGCTTTGTTCATGTACAAAATTATGTTTGTAAGATTTATATGAAACTTAAACTAATGTATTGTTATGTCATGTACATATATGCAAATACAGTATTAATTAAAAATGAAAAAAATCCATAACACTTCTGGTCCCAAGGATTTTTGAATACAAGATACTCAACTTGTATTAAAAACAACACGAATGTCTGGAAAACAATGCAGCCCTAAATACTTTAGTAGGAAGTAAAACTTTTTAAAGCAGTAGACTCTATTGATGAGTTAGCATATTTTTACCAATCAGCTGAAAAGTTGCTTTGAGTCCAACACTACAGAAAGAATTTCCAGTGTAGAATGACCTATCACCATCTTTATGGGAGAAAGCTAGATAGAGAATAGGTTCTAATCCCACTTGGGGTATACTTATATTAAATTCAATACTCCCCCCAGAAATTCCCTAATGAAGGTCAGAATGCAATACACCAGCATTCCTCAACCAGATGCTCCCTAGATCAGTGGTTTCCAACTTTTTTTTAACCAGGGACAACTAGACCAGGAACCACTTTGACCAGGGGCCACTTTTCAACATATGAATCAGTTTTTCGTCAACTTTAGATTCGGTTTGGTTATTTGGGGTGCTGATTCAGAAAATTGCGTTGGATAGACCACACCAGCTTTAGTTTCTGATACATAATGTATGTCATCCAGTAGTCATTAGCTGCTCACCCACAGAAAACCATATTTAATAATATAGATCTGATGTTGTAGTAGTATCTTTCATGGGTAGTCAGCCTCTCCTCTTCCGAAATCCCCATTGCCTTGGCACTGTAAGAGGGTTTCACGAGACCAGTCGCTTTCGTTGCTGCATGGTTTCGAGGCAACGGTGTAGTAATGGTGAGGCTGCAGACCATATTTGCGTTCTTGCAGTCCACTGGTGGTCCATGGACCACAGGTTGGGAACCACTGTCCTAGATGCTTAGATTACAATTCTATCATTCTTGACTGCTGCCCATCCTGGCTAGGGCTGACACTTGGGAGTTGCAATCCACAAACCATAAGACCCCTCTGGGCTGCTTGTCTTATACCCAATTTCCAGCCATACCAGCCCCATTAAAACTAAAAAGAAAAACTTTCAAAAAGAAAATGTGAAAATGAACAAGCAACAAGATGATCTAATTGCTAACTACCACACAGTATGTCTAGTTGTGTGTGCATGTGAGCACAATTAAAGGGCTGACTGAGTAGTTTCACTCCCAAAACCAAGCTAACTAATCATCTTTAGACATAGGGCAAAATATAAAGATTTTAATTTATTAAGTAACATAAACATAAAAATAGCCATATTTCTCAGGCTTAAAACAATGGGATTTCCACATATGCTAGCAGGGTCTTCCTCATCCACTTATTCTTGACACCACTAGAACCCCTAAAAAGACCCCCAAATACAACTGACTAGAGCCTCAAAAGAAGACTTTTCAAGCACATGGAGTCCTAACCAAGGTTGATATATCAGCCTCACCCGATTACAATCCTCCAGAAAGCTGGGAATATCGCTGTCTGTTGGCTGAAAGCTAATAAGGTCTGAGTGTCCTTCTTCCTCCATCAGCAGAAGGCCCTCTGCATCATCTCGTGAGACTAGCAGGACAGAAAGAAAAATTGTGTCAAAAAAAGATAGGACCATTCAAACCCACCAACTGCCCACGTGAGACTACCCACATCTATCCCCCTCACATGGCACTCTAGAAGCCTCAACACTAAAGTTCTGGTTCCCTATGCTTTACCAGCTGACAGATCCCACTCAATTTTTCCCCAGAAATAAAAGGTGTTTTAAATGACTCATCTCTCCAGCATCAGAAGCATCAGCTTATATTCAAGGGAGTTTGTCATTGCTTCTGCCTCTTTTCTCTCACTTCACAGAGGGCATTAAAAAGAACAGGTTATGTGGGAAGGCTTCAAAATCATGATTGCCTCCAGATGGAGAGCTTCTAGCACCACCAGTTAAAAATGATATGCTGCAGCTATTCCAGTGCCCCCTTCTTCACAATTTTTTGCGTCATTTCTTTAAAAGGGAAACTATTAAGAAAACATGGGAGGCATAGAATTCTGAGAGGGTGACATCTGAGCCCACAGTAAAACTACATGAATGGAGAAGACCAAACCACGAGGAAAGCTTTAACTGGAAGCATCCAACAACAGCAGTCACTTAAACGTTGAGGGAAAAACACAGAGGAGACCGCAGTCTTCAGGTTTACCTCACTATAGAGATGGGGACTGCATGGTCCACTAGAAGTCATTAGACTGTTACCCCTCACCAATAGCCATGCTGGACTGGTGGGAGCTGTAGTCCAACAAACTATATAACACAGCAGTCAACTGTAGACCACTATGGTGATACATTGGAGACTTTGGAAGGCTAAACCCTCCCACGGCACCCACCATGCAAAATCTATTCTGCCCCTAAATACCATTCTGTGGGTCGGGGGAGGGCGTTTCCCCATCTTTTTAGACTCCCTGGGCAATTTTAGGCCCAACAGAGACCTTTTCTAACAACAGGAAGTGAGCCGAAATCACTGTTAAAAAGGCCTGTCTTAGGCCTAAATTGGAGTGGGGGCAAAAATGTGATGAAAATTGACTCCACAACCCCTGGAAGGGCCTTTAGGGGCAATTTTAAAAACACAATTGAATTTATTTATTTATTTATTTATTTATTTATTTAAAAAAACTTGAGACTTTGGGGACCACAAAATTGGCTTGGAGTTCGTGAAACACACTTTGCCCACACTTTATACACTTTTATTTAATCATTTCCTGGCAAGGTTTAAGAACCACATGAAAATTCACATTATTCAAAGTTCTAGTTCAATAATTTTGCCCAGGGTCCTCTACATTGCTACAAAAGCACCTAACTTCACGCAGATTTAAAAAAAGAGAGATGGCAATCCTACAACAAACAGTCCACAGTCACACAAATGCTTGTAGCAAACACTGAGTTCACTTCAGGGTGACTTTTGACTGTATCAAGCAGGCAGCTCTTGCCTCGTTGTTCTTGGTTTGTTCTTGGTTTGGCTACTTCAAAGCATATGGCTGAACCACTTTGACCGTCCAGGGAGCAAATAAAAATAGCAATTCAGGTTGTTTGAATAGACTTGTCTATAGGAAGCTTTTATGTGGGTAAAACCCTTCAGAAGCCTCAAGGAACAAGACCTGACTTTCAAGTGAGACTCACTCGATTGTGGTGGCAGTCCTCTGTTCCCAAGGGCTGAATATTGTACCCCACTGTGGCCACTAAGGAAATGGGCTTTTAGCTATGTAAGCACGTGTTAAAGGATATCCAGTTTTAAAGGTGCCACAACATTCTTTTAAAAAAAACCAGAATCTTTCTCTTCTCTCCACTACCCCAGCCTTCTTCTCATGCTACTGCCACCCTAAGGTTTGCTCTTCCATCAGGTAGGTTTGCTTCAACCAAGCAGGGACCTCTGGTAGAACCACCCTTCTCTGGAGGGACGGCCCCTCACCCTGATTCAGGTCTTCTCGCAAGGAGCCTGCGTGGCTGGGGCTGGAAGGTGGGATTTCTGACCCAGGAGCATCTCCATTGGGTGTCAGGGATATATGGCAGTTCCAGCCAGTCTCAAGACCCATCTTCTCAGCAAATACCTGTGGAAACAGCCAGATAACAGCCAGATAAAAAGCGTTAGGAAATGATGCAAATGTTTCAAAGGCATGCTTGGCCATCTCATCCCTGGGTCTGAGGGAGACAATGCTTTCACACATATTTCTGATGTGACAGAACTTCATAACATTGCAGTTGGGATTTAAACAGTTATTATTCTAAATAAAACATGGATTTACTATACATTCTGAAGCTCTATGTGTGTTTGTGTGTATATGTCTTCAGGTTGCTTGTCAATTTATGGTGAACCCCATGAATTTCATAGGCAGACATCTGCCAATTCCTTCCTCTGAAATATAGTCTTTGTGGTTAAACCTTTGTGCTAATGAACTGCTGACCTGAAGTTCAAATCTACAGAACGGGTCAGCATCAACTGTTAGCCGAGCTCCTGCCAACCTAGCAGTTCAAAAACATGCATATGTGAGTAGATAAATAGGTACCGCTTTGGCGGGAAAGGCATTAGACGCTCCAAGCAGTCATGCCAGTCACACGACCAAGAGGTGGCAATGCAGGCTCCTTGGTTTGGAAATAGAGAACAGTACCTCCCCTAGAGCCAGAGATGAGCACTGCCTCCAAAACCAGAAATGAAAGGAGAAGCCTCTGCCTTTCTTTGTTTTTGTGTATCTCATTATATTGTAACAAGGAACTGAATGTTTGCCAGTATCTGTTTACAATGTAATCTGCTTTGAGTCCCCACAGGGAGAAAGATGGAATATAAATAAAATGTTGTTATTGAAATTATTATTATTATTATTATTATTATATTTTCACTTTGATTGTATACGGAGGATTATGGCACACCTACCCATCATGACCAACTTTAAATACTGGCAGGGTTTGCAGGCAATGACATATGATGATGAAAGATGTAGTTCACCCACATCCTTATGCATTTTCTAATGGAACTATTCATAAAATTAGAAAACAAGCAGAGAGGAAAAGAATGACATATGTTGCCTTGACTTCATGTGAGGAGAGACTGGCTACAAATTTGACTGACACTAAAATGTAACAGGATGGCTCTGCCGCTCCTGTAGTCCCTGCAGGAATGTAACATATTGAGTATAGGAATGTAACATATTGCAGGAATGTAACATATTGAATCAAATAAGTAACCTACCTTACTCTTGAGCTCATCTTCCAGAGAGAAGTAAACAAAACGAATGCAGGCATTGACAAGTCCCTCAATTAGGCGAACAACATCAGATCGAGCCTGATACTGGGAAGACACCATTCCCATAAAGATCTGGCCACTCAGAGCCTGGATGCAGTCCTCCTTCTCCATCACTTCCCCGATCCCTTCTTTGTGCATGCATACAACAGGCGGCGAGGGGAGGGGGCAGACATGTCACAATACAGAGTAGGAAGGTTTGGCACAGTCACAGGAAAACAGACAAAGGAGGACACACACACAAAAGTGATAATTATTAAGAAAATAGGAATAGCACGTATGCTTCTCCTCCAACCTTCATCTAAATTGCTTTTCAACTTTGTGCTTCTTGCTGATAGTTCTGGGTGGGTTTTGTGAGTTGAAGAACCAAGTCTATCTTTTACTGACTGGCAACAACAGGGTTGGGGAACAAAAATATTGTGGTTGAAAGGAAGGATTCTGTCTCTGTCTAGGGACTGAAACGTCGAAATTGCTCCTTTGTGATCTGCCCAAGGACAATGAAGGAACTTGCTTGCCAGGCTGAAACTAACAAGCAGGAAGAGTGAAGAGAAGATGATCTGATGAAATTGGATCTAACAAATCCTGTTTCTGTTGCAAAAGCACCTCAGACTGCAATGTGCTAAGAATTTTAGACAAACAAAATTCTTCCACCATTACACGTTCAGAGGTGGAGGAATGCAATATAGTGAAACAGAAGCCCTTGGACCAAAATGAATATTGAGTCAACAAGATTTCAAACTAATCCTAATGTAAAATGATGTTGCAAAATAACCTTAATTTGTAAATTTTGTAAAATTGGGTTTGTAAATGTCCTCCATGAGATTTTATATATAAAACATTAAGGGATAATTTTATGCACATTCAGACATCCTCTAGAAAATACTGTTCAGTTGCTTATTTCTAACAAATTTTTAATATTTCATTTTTGTATTCAACAACCTCACTCTTTTAAAATGGAGGAATTTTTGGAGAAGTCTTAAGAACCCACATTTACAGTGATTCCAAAACTATGGTCCTCCAGGTTCCAGCAGCTTCAACCACTTTGGCCAATGATCAGAGATTCTGAGAGTTGAAGTCCAAAACACCTGGGGGACCTGAGTTTGGGTTTCACTATAGTAGAAGTTTGGAGATAAACAGGATTGGCAGAGCCTTCTCTAAGGCCCATCGACATTACCACATAAAATCCAGATTATCTGCTTTGAACTGGAGTATATGGCAGTGTAGACTCATATAATCCACTCCAAAGCAGATAATGTGGATTATCTGCTTTGATAATCTGGATTATATGGCAGTATACAAGGGGCCTAGGAGGCACCTGCCACAGGACTTCAGTGGTAACAGAAAGTTACCTACCATCTGAACTCCAGCTGTTCCTCCGGCTGTTCTGCTTGATGGGAGTAGTGCCAGGGAGATCGCAGGAGGTGAAGATGGCATTCTGCCCAGGGACCTGCACCAGTTCTATACACTTGCCATTGAGCTGGGAGGACAAGGCACAGTGCATGGGCTTATAAGAGAAGGCAGAGCAGTACCCCGAGAGACAGGCACGCTGGTAGAAATCCAACACTTTCTTCCTAATGCCAACCAAAAAGAAAAAGAACTAGAAGAGTAAATGAAAATGGCAGAGAGATCATTTGCTCAAAAAGTACTTCAACATTTGACTCATGCTACACACATGGGTCTACTAAAATAGCCATGAATAAGAGGAGCAGGGAAGGTGTTGTGGTCCACATATTCCATAAGCCCTGGCATTAGCCACTGGTTGAAGCTTATAAGAATTACAGTTCAACAATTTGAAAGGGGTAAGGGATGCTTATCCCCAACGTTTCCAGGAACAGAAGCTGTTAATGGGAACGAAGACAGGGGCTATTCATTCATATTCCTATAGTATAAGCACTTTTCACTGATTTTGAGGACCCATTCCAACCCTCTGGGCTTCTTAGAAGCCATTCCTGCCTTCCCCCATGACCACTTTTCAAAGGTTCTGTACAACTATGGGAAGTAGTGACCTCACCCTCTCTTTCTTGCAATATGCAGCAAAAACAGTTCTACTGTAATGCTTGGAGAAAGCATCTGCCCACAAAATTAAGTATCAGGCACTGCTGTTTGGTACGACCACTACATTACCGCTGCTGCAATCTATCTTTTAAAAGTGCTAGCGTGGCGGTTTAGATCATGATTTTATGGTTTCTCATATGTTATTATAGATTGTTTTGATATGCCGTGAGTTGCCTTGTGGGGGGAGGCAATCAAGAAAGGCAACCTATAATACAGGAATACATATAAAGTTTCCCTTTTCCCTTAAACACAGACACAGGCCTTTCAGAGGTGGTTGAGCAGGAAGGGGATAGTCTTGCTAAATAAAGTGTTTATATTCTTGAAAACACTGAAATATAAGAAACCACAATCCATACCAATTTTGCACAAATTTGAGATATTGATGCTGGTGATGTTGGGATAAGAACTGAGACTAATCTCCCCCTTTTAAAGAAGACCTATCAGAGCCAGTATGGTTTGAGGGTTGGACTACAACTCTGGAAACCAAAGTTTGAATCTCCACTCAGGAACGAAAGAAAACCACTGGGTGACCTTGGGCAAGTCATACTCTCTCAGCCTCAGAGGAAAACAGAGACCTTCTGAATAAATACTGCTCAGAAAACTGTGATATAGTTGCCTTAGGGTTGTCATAAGTCAGAAATGACTTAAAGGTACACAACAAAAACAAAAACAACAAATAAAAGAGTTTCCAGTGTATGAAGAGTTATGTTGATATACTATCCCTGCAGCCGATGGAACAATGAATTTAGATCTGCAAAGGCCTACCCTTATACAAAGCAAGATAAACTGTACAATAGAGGAGGATACCAGTAGGCTTTTAGCAACTCCTTGGTTTACAGAAGTATCCCAAAATAACCAAGATCCCTATTAGAAAAAAATGCCCTGAGAGCAAATGAAATGTGTCACGTGGTTACAGAATGGGAAATGGTTTTAGAGGGGAAAAGAGCAAAATGTGGAATCCTCTCTATCCTAGGAAAAAGGGATGAATCACTAAACTCAAGAATCTTAAAGTGGGGCAGGGGGAAAGAGGAGGAGATGCAAAATGGTGTCTCCACAGACTAACGGATTACAAAAGTGCACAACCCAAGGGTGGATATTCAATCTTGCCTCCATGTCCTTGGGAAGTCAAAAATCAGAGTGAAGAAATGACCAGAAGTCTGGCATACACACAGGCCTATCACCAGATATGGTGGTGTTCTTTTTATAACTGATTTTTTAGCATTTCAAAAAACTACTAACAATGCTACCTGGGCCTTCAAAGTGGGAATGAAAGGCGCAATTCTGCCACGTTTTTGCCCTCCTCTGGATTATTTTATGGAGCCCTTCTTCTGAATCACAAACTAATTTTAAAAATAGACTCCCAGCTCTGCACATCTAAAGGGAAGACCTTAGAGGGCACGCAGGGTGTTTTAATTTTAAAATAATTAATCCAAACAATTTCCAAAATAATAAAACCCCATAATTTGAAGCTTTGGGTGCTTCAAAAATAGTCTTGGGGCTGCATGCAGCCCATAGGTCACATTTCCACTACCTTGGTCTAAATCTTTTCAGCAGGGGTTGGGTCCAAGAGGCTGTCCACATGTACTGTAGTTGGCTGACAAATCTACCGAACAGTGCATGATGTTGAGAACAGAATTCCCACAATGTTTGGAGAGCCACACAACTCTTTTTCTCGATGCAGTTTCATGATGCTCTGTGAAGCCAGTAGTTTTTGTTACAGTAATCAAAAACTGCCCACCTGTCAGATCCAGAGAGAGGATAAATATCAGAGCCATCCCAGAAGTCTGTGCAGGCCTCAAGGATTATGTCCGCAGTCCCATGGGACAGCATCTGCTCAGTGCCTAAGAGGGAAAATGAGGTTTGTGTCTAGGAACTGAAAATAGCTTTCTGACATGCTCATTTCTTACACAGGTTTCTATGTTCATCATTGCCCACAGGTGCCTTTGTACATTTAACAATACAACAAATAATGAAAGGTACATTCAATGAACTTTGCCTGTCATCAAACAAAGTATCACTGGAAAAGATGAACTGTCAAGCTTTCCTGCAATATATTATTATAGCTTCATCATTCGTATTGTTATAAGGCAACAAACCACATAAATGCTCTTCAAAGTAGGGAGATGGGAAGTGATGCAGTTAGTTCCATTTTGTTCAGCATTCTCTGAGCCAACCTCTTTCATTCAGTGTTAGGTCTAGCATCCCCAAGAACAATAGTCTGCAAACTCCCACAAAAATCATTTTCACAGGTGTCAGTCTCCCCCTTGCTCTTCCTCAGAACAGCACTTCAATGGCCACTCTCAGATGATGGGAGTCAGACAAGACCAGGGAAGAGGTCTCCTCGTTCTCTTCTTTAAACATGCTAACCGTCTAGCGACAGATGGCTGTTTATAAGAAAAGCTGTCTGGAGTGAGACTTCGCATCTGAAAGCCTGCTGTCCTTGTGTGTCTGCAAAAAGCCAGCCACTCATCTCTTGGTTATGTTAGAATGAAGCCAAGACACGTCAGGCTTTTAACGTAAGTTATCAAACCACCATCATCTGAACCGTCCAGGGGTTTACATGTTGGAAACAAACAGTATGTTTAAAGGAAGAACCTGCTATCTTCCTAAAAGCATTTCCATACTTGGCCAACTCTTCTCACAGCCTAGAAAGTTCCAAAGCAAGTATGTTTTAATAAAAAAACATGAAGAATCTATATCAGTAAACCAACACGTTACATTCCTTTCCTGAACACACCTGATGTGTTTTCAACATCCTGGTTCTAGGCAGTTATTGAAACTATGCCTCACTTTCTAGCTTATTGTCTCAGCCAAGGCTGAAGTTAATTAACCAGTGGAAAAAATGGCTCCTTTTCTAGGAACCTTCACTTGGAAACATGACTGCCTCAATTGTGATAGCAAAGCCTTTTTCTTTTGCATTTTTCTAGGATTTTAGGAACTCAACCAAACTCCCAGACAGTTACCCCCTGGGTTTTGCTTTGAGTAGAGAGGTTGCTAGCCCCATTGAGACTACAGAGGACTCTGTGTTATGAATTGTACGTGAGTCACATGTGTACCACCAACACCACCACCCCTCACCAGACAGGAGTCTTACTGGAAGTGGTATCTTTCACAAAAAGGCTGATCATATGACTCAAAGGCGGCCTCCTTTTGGTGATGAATGAAAGCTTGCCAACCATCACTTCTTTCACCATCTCATCTGATGGCAGGCGGTAAAGTGCCAGGTAGTTTTCCTGCTTGAACAGCTCTTTGGCACCAGGTGTAAAGCCTGAGAGGAAGGGAAGTTAACATGAGAATGTGATATTGGAGGGGAAAGCACATGGAAACTTATGGGAATAAAAAGGTGCTCTCCTCCTTTGTCTTCTCTTCTCCATTACCATCCTGATGCCCTGACAAACGTACAGGGAGCCTGTGGAAGGATAGCTAGAACCACTTGGGCGTTTCTTCTCTGGTTTTTATTATCTGTGGATAAAAAATTGGCACCCTGCCCATATTGCATAGATTGATACACAAGGATGACTCCACTTTTTCCTCAGCCAGGTTTTCCTGCATGTACCATATATACTCAGCTCTGAATGTTGGCCAACAGACTCAAACAGCAACTGCAAGATTGAATCTATGAACTCCCCAAGAAAGAGAGATAAGATTCCTATTAATTACCAAAAAAAAGCAATCTCTCTTCTTGTTGGTTCCCCCCCTCCCCGCCCATACTTTCCTAAAATAAACACTAAGCATAGGGAGACTATGCTGCTTTGTTGTTTTTTTTAAAAAAAAAATAGTTTCATAAGCTCCCCAAAGGACAAGGGAACATATTTACCCTGCCTGATGCTTTCTACTGTATGTTCAACCAGCTGGTCCACTGTAAGCCAACATGTTTGGAAGGTGACAGGTTGGGAAGGACTAATATACAGTTTTCATTACAATTGTTTTATTTGTTATATGGCAGGGGTTTTTTTAAATTGAGGGTTGAAATTACTGACTTCTGATTATTTGCTTTAAAACTGGATTAAATGAGTCTCCACTGCCAGATAATCTGGAATAAAAAAGTAATCTGGGATCAGATCCTGGGATATAGGGGCAAAGTGGAAGGGACCTTGGTGGTGCCAATACATGTTATTTCAATGCCAAATCAAAGGCTGGATTTTGATATGAAAGACTCCAAGGCTTAATTGATTTTATAATATTTGCTGGTTGGTGTTATTTAAAATTGTTTCAACTGGTTTGACGCTCTTGTTTTAAGTAATAAATGATTGAACATATTTTATAGTTATTGTTATTTATTGTCCCAAATCACTCTTATTTTACTCTACCCTACGATCATCAGATATACAGTGGAGTACAAATATTTTCATAAACCTAAATAAGCCAAAGTATACACAAGGAAAGCATGAGGGAGGATTGATTTGCAAGCACATCAACAATTTATTCAACATGGCTAAATTAGGTATGGAAAAGCAAACAGGCTGCAGAGATCACCTCTGAAAAATTTACATTTCCCTCCCCAATCACCAGCATATAACCCCACAGATCTGGTCAAAGGTCTCATCACAGCAAATCGCGTTATTGACACAGCAGAGAAAGATTTACATGTGGCTTACAGCCGACTGGCTGCCTTATCACACCAAGCCATAGTAAATCAATATCAGCTGGCTGGGTGTGGGAATTACAGTTCAGAGCTTAAGATAAGCAAACCCACCAGACAATGTTTGCATACAGTGACCCATTTCTCCTTATCTTACATGCTCTATGCCCATTTGCTCCTAAAGGATCCAGGAATCCAAACAAAACCAAGAAGTTAGGTTTTTTTTTTCTTTGTACTAGTTGTTGCAAACACTAAATAAAGGCATTTAGTCCAGAGTGAAACAAACATCTTCTGGAAGTGCTTTGACTGTGTGTTCAATAATCTATTGCATAAATTTTCAAAGTACAGTCCAATGGTCCTCAAAACTATTTTTGAAGCCATGGAGCCCAGCAGTCTCTTGGACTTCCCTTTCCAGGCTAAATAAAAAAGATGGGTTGCTTCTCTGAAACACTTCCAGGAGCACTCATTCACATTGGTGTTGCAAGTCGCCATCCCTATGGCAGTCAGTAACGCCATGGAAGGTCCAGGGGTGGTAACTGGACACTGCTCTCCATCTTGTCTGCACTGTGTTTCTTCTGCTGTCATTTTCTCCCCCACCCCCATCATTTTCACCCCATCCTGCAGTTCTTTGGCAGTGGAGTTTTAATCAAGCGGGCGGTGCCTTTTCTTAAACTGTTTTATTTTGAATTGGGTTTTTAAAATACCTTGTATGCTTTAATTGACTTTGTTACCTTCACCGAGGGTCATTCCTTTGAAGAAAGGCAATGCATCAATTAAAGGGAGGGAGAAATTGAGAGATTTTCCTAAAAATAAAATACCCATCTTTCTTCCCTGTCACCTCCTTTGCACCTATTGTTTCTTCCGGTCTTACCTATGAGCCTGGCAAGCTCACAAAGTCCCCACGGCACATGCACTGGCAACACAGCATTGTGCGACTCCTGCAGGGCAATGTTGCAGAGATGGTCAGAAAAACGGCACAGGCGCTCTGTCACACTGGCATTGCACAGGTTGAGCAGCACATTCAAGCCCAGGGGTTTCAAGGAGGTTAGATGCATCTGCCAATTGGAATCATCAAACTGGATGCAGGAAGGATTCTGCTGGTCCTGTGACAAGCTCAGCATCTCCAAATGGTAATCACATACAAAGTCTTCAGCCTCACAGGCCAGTCCCTCATTGTCACCCTCAACCTGGCTCAATATAAGAGAGAAATGCCTTATCAGCTCCAAAGGGCAACAAGATCTCTTACCAGTATTACCACAACTCAGTATGACCACCAATATAAGGTGCCAGCCATCATTTTGCTTACAGATGTGAATGTTGAGGGGCATAGACTTCACATAGGGTTAGCACACCATCCATACAACCTTAGAAGAGTTCTGTGTAGCTAAAGAAATAATTTTACATCTTGGAAAATACCCCATGTTTTAAAATCCAAAGTTGTAGCTTTAATATTTATGGAAATGTGTCCAAAAACTGATGACAATAGAAAGAACAGAAAATTCAAAATGAATTGAGATGGGAAGGTCTCAATATTCCATGCTCAGAATGCTTGACTCCAAGCTCATGCAATATGTTGTCATTGCTTTAAAAAATGAGTAATTTCTTGCTGACAATACTCTGAGCAGAATTCAACATCACTTCACCAACTCAACAAAACAGCTCTTGTGCTCTCTCACACATACTCACAGACACACTATAAATGCCAAAAATCTTTCTTGTGAGACAGCCCCATCCCTTTGGAGAGGACTGTGAGAGCACCTAAAGGGCTAAAGAAGAGAAGGTCATCCTTCTCTTTGAGGTGTACTGATGAAAGCAGTTACGTCAGTAGAAAAGGTTAACCATCTTTCATTCAAGTTGTCAAGTGACAACTTGTACTACTATTGAATGTTCCCAGAGTCTAAACATGAAGAAAAAGCTTCATATATTTTTCCTCCTTACTCAAACTACGTTTTATAAAAAGAGAAAGCAAGAACGTCAGCTCCATGGGTTGCTAAGCAACTTGCCCTGGCAGGCACGTAACTTGGTTGCCAGCTTAATCTGTGGTGATCTGGCAGCACCTCCATCTTCTATCTACACTCTCTAGACTAGTGACAGTTCCAGCACAATCACTCCCATGGTTTTTCACACAAGTTCCCACTGTTGTTCTTTTACCCTGTCCTGCTCTCTCTATGCATACAGCATACATACATTCCAATTCACTCTACTGTAGTGGTGCACATCCATACTACCACACACAGGTGAGTCCAGGATAGCAAAAAGAGGGGAAAGGCACACAGGAATCTGGTACCTGTCTCATTCCTTACTTTCCAGAGGAAGCTCAACACTAGAATGAACAAGTAATAATCTGGAAGCAGCTTATACATTTCTGTCCCAGGCCCCTTCCATGCAGCTGAATAAAACCCCACATTATCTGCTTTAAACTGAAATATATGGCAGTGTGGACTCAGATAACCCAGTTCAAAGCAGATATTGTAGGATTTTCTGCCTTCATATACTGGGTTATATGGCTGTGTGGAAGGGCCCTCAAGCAGCCCTTTTCAGCCTTTTAGATGAGAAGCTGGTGGCTGAGGTGTTCAACCTTACGATACCAAAGTAAGGCTGAACTCCTCAGACACCAACTTTCAAAGTTCTAACCTACTTCTTAAGAGGGATCACTCAGGGCCAAAAGGACCTAACTAACACCCTTCCTCTGTTACTGCAAAGAAAGATGTGCAGACACAAGTCCTCAGTCCATGAAGCACAGAGTGAGCCTTGATTTCTGTTTTTTCCCCCCACAACAATCTAACAGTATTTCTCAGACACCAATTTGTGCATTGTATGTTAACTAGGCAGCTCTAACTTTCTCCCAGATAGACTTATTCTGAAATCCCATTATAGGAAAAGGAAAGCAACTTTCCATGATTCAACTTTTCTTACACATACTGAGGGCCCTTCCCCACAGCCCTATAACCAAGAATATCAAGACAGAAAATCCGACAATATCTGCTTTGAACTGAGTTATCTGAGTCCACACTGCCATATAATCCAACTCAAAGCGATAATGTGGGATTTTATTCAGTTGACATGAGAGCCGAATGAAAACTAATTTGCTAGTAGTAGACTGAATCTCCTCTTTTCTTCCCAACAGTATTCTCTTTCACTTTTTCTGTCTTCCTGCCAAACCTTTCCTCTTCTATCTGCTTCTGGCCTTCCTCAGCAAGAAGCCAAGTCCACTGTCTTACCTTCACTGGTTCCTCTTCTCCCCCTTCAATGTCCTTGGAAAAGCTCACATTGGATCCCGAGTGGTGCTTGCTGCGACCACTGGGTTTCTTGTGAATGTGTGTATCCGAAGATTTAGGTGTGTTGCAGGTGGACCACTCAGCCCTGTCTTGCTCATTGGTGATGTGAACAACATCTGACAAAGGCCCAGATAGAAGAGCATCCCTTTCATGGGGCTGTAATACAATATAAGAAGAGGTAAGCACAGAAAGCCATGTAATTTGAAACAAAAAAAGAAAACTACATGATATACAAATGTTCTGATAATGAAAGATTTGTCTTAACCTTTCAAATGATGAGGAATTATAGTCTTAGCACTTCCTAGGTGCTGAAGTTCTCTGAAAAGAGGTGCTCAACCTGTTCTTCCCCAAACCCTATCCTTAGTAGCAAAGAATTTTAGGCATTGTAGAATTTTGCAATGCATGTTATAGAGAAATAAGTACACTAACATACAATTTCCATTAATCTGATTAGAACTTATTTGAAATACAGACCTGCTATATTAAATTTATAAAGTGTTTTACTATATAAAATGCAACCACAATTATGTCAAATAAAGCAGAAAAAAAAAGAAGAAACAAAAGCTAGAAACCAGTCAGGGGGAGCATTTGAAATAAGCCTTATAATGAAGAAAAATATTGTCCATTCAAAAGTCAATCAATAGCAGGGCCAGGTGCATCTACTGGGTGAAGACGTTTGACTCCGCTCCAGAAACTATTCAGAAGGCTTTCATCTGAGAAGATGCCAACCTTGTGTCACTAACACAGGGAACCCTGAGCAATATAATCTCAATCTGAAAGAACAGAGATGTGACAACTCATATGATAAGTGGTATTCTTATGATGCTATCTAGTTACAGAATTTGAAGTGCCTGCTTTCCCCTTTTAATTAGCTTTCTCCTGCTTTATTTTTTAAATTAATCATCTTTATTGTCTATTGTTTACATATTACAATAAAAGAGGGGGAACAATAAGGTTTGGGGGAAAGTAGGAAACTAGGGAAGAATTGAAGGATGGGTATTTGGGGAGAGCTTTCTCCTGCTTTTGACAAGAAGAATGGGGTAGAGAAATGAGATCAGAGCTCTGAGATTCCTGGCAAAGCCCAAGGAGTCATCTCTCACCTCTTCATCCATTTCTGGGTGGCAGAAGGAACGCGTGGAGAGTTCATCCGTCAGGTCTTCATGACTGCTGTGAGGCGGTTCCACTTTGCCACTAAAGAACAAAACCGTCTCTGGACTGGGATTAGGCCAGGACAGAATTCCTTGCTTATCCACACAGCAAAGAACCTAAAAACAAGCCCAAGACATCCCACAACACCCCAAAGATATACAATAAACTACTGGCAAGACTGTATCTGAATTACTAAGGTCACAGTCACTAAACAACAGTCAGGGCAACTCGGCTTTCAAGCACACTGGAAGGAAAGCCAAGTCCTAACCAACCCTGGGAAAATTCCTTAACACTACTCAGGACAGAGCAAATAGACAGCCTTCACGGTATCTCTAGCAGGTTAACATACAGATGCCAAAAGGTGTTTTTAAAAATATCAATTACAAGTAGCATACCCACTTTACAGACATGCCAGCTATGGCTAAAAAGGGTTACAGATTAAGAAGTGCTTTTAAATGTCGTTCATAATCTACAACCATGAGTTTTACAACTTATCCCATAAAGAGCAGTCTTAGTGAAAGCATTAGCACTTTTAGAGTTGGGTCATGTTAAAATAACAGGAAAAACCCAAGAAAGCAAGTCACTTACTCCAGGTTTAGATTTCAATTATTTAAAAACAGATAGTTCAAGTCTGTCAGGCTTTTAATCCCCAGATTATACTCAACTGCTTTGATCTAGCCACTGTTTAGCTAATCTATCCAGGTTAGAAGGGCTTGTTTGTGGCTACAGAAGAAATCTGAACACATTATCTAACCCATTATAAAAAAAAATACCTAACCAAAATAAAAGTATTATTGTGAGATGTTAGAATAATCCTTTAAAAAAGAACGTAAGCAAGGTGTTCAAAATAATGGATTATGAGAGACAAACTCTCCCAGCCTGTCTAGGAAACTCAGGTGCTCACTTTTAAGACTTCTCCTTAAAATCATACTTACTGTGACAGATCCCAAGCTGTGAAGCAAGCTAGAGGTAAAGGTAAGAGTTGGGGATTTTCCCTTCAGAACACGCAAGAAGTGACTCCAAATACAACGGATCATTTCCTGCAAGGAAAACCCACATAAATTGGACAACTGGGGGAAAACAGACAAGCAAAAATTACAGCAAGTTTAATTTAGAAAAATGTACTTAGTTCCACTACACCAGAACTAGAGTTATATGTTTCAGAAGAACACTATTATAGACAACTGTAAGAAAACAAGAGAACTAGTGCACAAAAAATGTTGAATGACTTAGAAGGATACTAAGATATAAACCAAAAGCGGACAACTCCCAGTGGACAGGAAACTGCATTGCCACCTCTCAAGGACTTTGAGGGACCCAACATTCCCCCGTTTGAATTTTAAACTTTAAAAAAAATATTCCAACCATCCATAGAAGCCAAAATTTCACCATTCTTTGGGCTCCTCTACCTCTGTTGCCTTTTAGGTACAGAACTGGTGTTTTAATAATCAGAAAGTACATTTGTTCCTTCCCAGGGGCAACCGGGTGGCGCCCACTCACCACCAACCATCTCTTTCCCTCACTGCTGCCACCCGCTCTCTCCTGGAAAGGAACAAAGGAAGGAGCGACAGAGAATAAATAGGAAAGGGAGAAAGGAAGGAAGGAAAAAGAGAATGGACAGGAAGAAAAGGAGAGAGAAAAAGGAAAAGAAAGAAAGAAAGAGGGAAGGAGGAAAAAGAGGGGCAAGGAAAGAGGGAGGAAGAAAAGGAAGAAAGAAAGGTCGATAGGAAAAAAAGAGGGAAGGAATTCAGAATTCATAATGCTTAGGGAAGTGGTTTAAACCTTGGAGTATGCCTCTGAATCCATTGGGTGACTTTAAGCAAGTCACACTGTCTCAGTCTCAGAAGAAGACAAAGGCAAATCTCCTTTGAATAAATCTTGACAAGAAAGCCCTGTGACAGGGTCACCTTAGGGTTGCCCTAAGTCTGAAATGACTTGAAGGCACACAACAACAATCCCAATTAAACATTAATTATACTTTACTTGGAAAGTAAAGTGCTAAAAACCTATTTGTCACCCCAAGAGGCTTAGCATATCTAATTTTTGCCCCTTACTACTCACGAGTTGGGCGGGCCTGATCTATAGCATAGTGCTGTCCACAAGCATCCTCCCCCTATTTTGATTTTTTCCACATTTTTAGTGTTACAGCCTAGAATTGAAACATCTTTAATTCACATCGTTACCAATTGATGTTTACAAGCTAGTGAACACTGTGAAAGTGCAAAATATTTTTACTGCAGCATGCAAAACAAACTGATACTTGTTGGTTGCAAAGTATCTAAATTAACACTACTGCATCAATGTTTAACATAAGTATATTTGGCAGTAATTACAGTCTTCTTTTATATCAGCCTTGTGCATTTGGACCCTGTAATTTTTTTGTCCATTCTTCTTAGCAAAACTGCTGCAGCTTTGGCAAATTGCATGAGAATTGCTGGTGAAAATCAACTTTCAAATCTTGCCAGAGATTTTCAGATGGATTGAAGCCTGAGTTTCAATTTGGCCACTTGAAGACATTTAAGTTCAGTGTTAATTTGAGTGTGTGTTTAAGGTGATTGTCTTGTTGGAAGATTAATCCCCTTCCAATTCAGGTCCCTCGCAGAGTGAAACAGGTTTTCCTGCAAAATTCTTCTGTTCTTGGCTCCATCCATCCTGCCCACAAACCTAACTAGATTTTTTTTTTTGCACTCAACATGGGACACAAGCCCACAACCCTGAGATTAAGAGTCTCATGCTCTACCAATTCAAATATCTTTCTCTCTGATCACTATACTATCAGTGCACAACGTCTTCCACCTGACATTGGCTACAGATGCAAAGTCTGTTTTCCAGTGGGATATTATGGTAACAACCATCTAACACTGCAGTGGGCATTACTTGGAATCGCAGTTCAGTGAAGGCATTTTAGATATCTGGCCCTAAAATGTTCAGTTTTCAAAAAGGGGAGCCATGGGGAGAATTTTAAGTTCCTGATTGACTGCAGAGCCCTGCTTGAATCAACCCAAAATAGCCAGTCTCTTAATTGGGGGTGGAGTAATCATCTCTGTTTTACTCCCCGTGTTGTTGAAAAAGGTTTTGTCAGAGAACAATTTCTGCCAACTCTGACCCTCATTTCTGTTAGTGCATAATTCCTGTCTCAATCTTAATATTCTGCAATCAATATCAGAATTCTGTAGCTTCCTCCATATCTTTCCGTTAATGGAATCAAAAGCAGCAGAAAGATCAATGAAAGCAGCAAAGACATTTTTGTTGTTTTCCTTAGTATATTTCTTTATGATATGATTTACTGTGAATAATTTATCTGAGGTGCTATATCCACATCATAACCCTGCCTGTTCTTCATGTATAAATTGTTTTTCTTGTAGCCAGTCTGTCAGTTCATGAAGTAGGTGTTGAGCATATAGTTTTGAGGTAATGTTGAGAAAGCTAGCTGGATTATAGTTTTGAGGGTCATTCCTACCACCTTTCTTGTAAATAGGAAATGCTAGCTTTCCAGTTCCTCTCATAAAAAAACATGATAATGCCACCACCAGGCTTCACTATGAGAATAGCATTCTGAGAGCATGTTGGCCTGAACAATACATAGTACTTTCCTGCAGGCCAAAAAGTTCAGGATTTTTTTTTCTAAACAGCTTTAAGCATCTTTTCTAGATATTTCAGGTGTTCCCTATGTGCCTCCCAAAGACTTTGTTAAGTAGTCATTTCAGCAATGGATTTCTTTTCATCACTCTTCCATGTCACCAGTTTTGTGGAGCATCAGGGTGATAGTTGTCCGATGGTTTCTCCCATCTAAGCTATGTATTTCTCAAACTCTTTCAGAGTTACTCGTTGGCCCTTTGGTTGCTTCTCCAAGAAATTACCTGTTTACTCAGTCACAGACTGAGTCACAGTTCAGCCATATTCTGTGCATTTTGTAATAAGGGATTTAAAGGTGTTTTGAAAGAATTAAACAGTGTTTTTCACAGCAATACTGATAAACAATTTGCAACAAAGTTGTTCCAGTTTTGAAATATCGTGTACACTGTACATCATAGCATGTTATACTACAGTATAGAGATGTACACACACATACACAAAGTATACAAAAAATATAGCCAGGACATATATCTATCTATCTATCTATCTATATTAGAGTGAGAGACACTCTATAATCAGACACTGCTAATATTACCAGCCTCTCTCAGTGATCTATTTCTACCCAGAAAGTATTTTAAATACATTTATAAAAATTCATGGAAACGGATTAAATGGCATGACATTTCATTGTCAGATGCTGAAAGGAAATTTGAATATTGTGAACATTTACAAAGAGGTGCACATGGCAAATATACGTAACTGGATGCATGCAGAACACAGGAGAGCGAGGAAATGAAAGTTTCAAAAAGCAAGAAACACTGGAAACAAGACACAAACATGAACGGGGAGGTGGAAGCAGAGCACAACGGAAATGAATTTGGATGATGACATGAAACAAAAAGAGCAAGATGCAACACCAATTAATAAAATAGTACCTGTGAGGATACCATCTCTGTGTAGCTGCTGAGGGTGTCTTCCGAAAATTTAGCCAGCTGAAGCAAGAAAGAGATTAGTTTTTATCAAGGTGTTTAAAAATGACATGTGGGGCTCTCTGAGTCCCCCTAGAGGTGAGAAAAGCGGTATATAAATGCTGTAGATAAATAAATAAATAAATAAATAAATAAATAAATATTCTGAAAGTACTGGCCACTAATGTGAAATGTGGATGGGAAAGGGCATATGTTCTGCAGGACATACTGTATCTAAAAAGGATCAAGAATCCCACCATATTTATTCTTTGACATGTCAAAAAAAATTAAACCCTCAAAGTGGCAATCTCCTTTGAAATCTTAAAAAGATTGTATACTTAATAAAAAGAAATGTTGCTTACCTGTAACTGTGTTTCTTCGAGTGGTCACCCATGAAATTCGCACACATGCGTTTGCATAGTAGCTCAAAATCTTCTGGAAAGCTTTTTCTTCCTGGTTATAGCCCTGCCCACCCTCCCCAGGAGGCATATAGGCTGTGGAAGGGGCTGTAGCCTCAGTTCATTTCAACCACCGCAAGAGCAGCAGCTAAGGAATTTCTCTTGTATAACTAACTACCTAACTAAGTGTTTGAAATTGGACTGCTTGACTACTCTTTTGCCTAAACCCAACCAACTTGGACCTCGATTATTGTGAAGAACTTTGGACTGTTTATTGACACCGCTGCTCTCTATTGAACTTGGGCCCAGACTGTTTGTTGACTACACGTTGCAGGCCAGTTGTGTCTCCTAAAAATATGTTCCTTCTGGGGGACAGTTACCAGGCTTGGATAGTCACAACATGTGCCTCCTTCGCCTTGGGGAATTCCATATGGTAGTGTCTTGCCCTGTGTCTCTTTCTTTCATGCCGAAGGCACAGAGAGGGCACGAGCGCTGCTTGAAAGATTTGCTCTGTGAGCAAGCCCTCCTCCTGCCTCCCTCCCCAAGGAAGTGTGCAGCTTCAGAGCTGTCTGAGCTGCGAAACCCTTCGGGGGTTGCCTTACCTTTTATGCTGGCCGCAGGCACGTCCCCACAAAGACAGCTGTCTGCACAACCTTTAAAGTCCAAGAGGGCTAAATCCTCCCAGGTGTCTCTGGGGAGGGTGGGCATGGCTATAGTTTGGACTAAAAAGCTTTCCAGAGGATTCTGAGCTACTGCACAGGAAGTACTATATGTGCGATTTTCACGGAGATCACAATGAAGAAGCTTGAGTTTCATCTTGTGCAAATGTGTAGATCTAAACATTGCATACATGTAGATTTTGTCACAAATTAAGTATACTATGCAAGATTGGGAAAGGCGTACGGCAAGGCTGCATCCTCTCACCCAACCTTTTTAACTTGTATGCAGAACACATCATGTGATGTGCGGGGGTTGATGAATGCAAAGCTGGGGTGAAAATTGCTGGAAGAAACATTAACAACCTCAGATATGCAGATGACACCACTCTGATGGCCGAAAGGAGGAGCTGAGGAGCCTTCTAATCAAGGTGAAAGAAGAAAGCGCAAAAGCTGGGTTGCAGCTAAACGTCAAAAAAACCAAGATTATGGCAACAGAATGATTGACAACTGGAAAATAGAGGGAGAAAATGTGGAGGCCGTGACAGACTTTGTATTTCTAGGTCAAAGATGATTGCAGATGCAACTGCAGCCAGGAAATCAAAATATGCTTACCTTTTGGGAGGAGAGCAATTACCAATTTCGATAAAATAGTAAAGAGTAGAAACATCACACTGGCAACGAAGATCCACATAGATAAAGCAATGGTATTCCACATAGTAACCTATAGATGTGAGAGCTGGACCTTAGGGAAGGCTGAGCGAAGGAAGATCGATGCTTTTGAGCTGTGGTGTTGGAGGAAAGTTCTGAGAGTGCCCTGGACTGCGAGAAGATCCAACCAGTCCATCCTCCAGGAAATAAAGCCCGACTGCTCACTGGAGGGAAAGATACTAGAGACAAAGTTGAAGTACTTTGGCCACATCATGAGGAGACAGGAAAGCCTAGAGAAGACAATTAGGCTGGGGAAAGTGGAAGGCAAAAGGAAGAGGGGCCGACCAAGGGCAAGATGGATGGATGGCATCCTTGAAGTGACTGGACTGACCTTGAGGGAGCTGGGGGTGGTAACGGCCGACAGGGAGCTCTGGCGTGGGCTGGTCCATGAGGTCACGAAGAGTCGGAGACGACTGAACGAATGAACAACAATGCAAATGGAGTGGCGTATGGAGAAAATAATCAAGCATAAAAATGGTCCAGAGGAAAGTTTCAAGAGAGAAGAAAAATGATAGTCTAAATGGAGAAAAAAACAAGGGAAAGTAGAGTAGAATAATGCAATTCACAAGTTCACAGATAAAAGAGAAGGATGAAAAAAAGACAAGAGAAAATGTGATCCAAGTGGCTGTAAAAAAGAAACATCCAAACCTGCTACATTCCAAATGGATCTGGAGGAAAAGAGAGAGGATGCAATTCAAGAGAGAACTGACCTAGGCAGAAGTAACCATTTGGATGGAATAGGGCAAAGACGCACAACAGCTTAAAAGCACAATTGTGAAGACAGAATGGGCAAGATCCTGGGGTAGAGAACATAACAATATCAAAATATTTTGGTATATGAGTAAAGGGAGGATGGATGTGCTGGCAACAAGAAAAGATGAGAGGAAAAGTGGAATTAAGGATATTAAGTTCCATGAGATTACCACAAGTGGCAAGGAGAAGAGATGAAGAGAGGAGAGGAGGAGAGAGAAGGGCAGTAAACAGGAGAATTGAAAGCCATGAAGAATCTTTTCATAGCCAAGAGGTGCCACTTTTTAACCAGGTTTCTCTGATATCCTTGATTGGCTGTCAACACCCACATACCAAATACAACTGATTTCTAATTTTAATCTTGCCTCCCTAGTAGAATCCACAATTGATTCTGTCTTAAAGATTCAAACAGATCAACGGCAAAAGAAAAATAGCCATCCACAATCCCTCTGACTTGAAAATTCTCTTCCTGATTCAGTAGTCCAGCATTCTTGCCCCTTCACATGACAAACCCCACCGCCAGATCATCCTCTCCTCTTCCCTTCCAGTAATACACAACTGCAGTGTACTCACCAAGGAAGTGGGTGAGGTCTTGTTCATCTGGGCCAAAACTCTGGCCTCACCAAAGGCAGTAGCAAGAATCCACAGGACAGGAAACAGCAACGGGAGGATGGGCAATACACCATTGACCTGCAAAGTCATCCCAGTACATCAGTTAGCACCACCGCCATGCAAAATGGTAGTGTTTCTTTACCCCCAAAAGCAGAAAGAAAGAGGACTCTTGACTGCAAAAACTGGCTGTTTACCAGCCACCAGCAGCCCTTTAAATTAGCGAAGAAAACAAGTAACTACAATAAAGAAGTGAAGAAAAGAAGGCAAACTTCCTTACCTGTAACTGAAAAAAAGTGTATTGCCAAGGGATTATTCCAGGAGCCATGAAAACAAAGCGCATAGCATTGGTGATGAGGAAGCCAGTCTGTCAAAAAAAAGGAGAAAGACAGCATTAAATAGCACTGCAAACCTCAGTGCTTAGGCATAAAGACACAACATAGTTATCTCTACAAACAACAAAAACTCCCTGGATGTTATAATGTTTGAACACTGAAGTCAAACGTAGCACCAGCAGACTTACCAAGACAACAGGGACAGCAAACTTGAGCATCACTGACTGCACTGTGAACCTTTCATTATCCAGAGCAGTCACAGGTCGTGACAAGGCCATTTCCAAACATAACCTGAAACAAAAGAGGATGCCTTAAGGATTTTACCTAGTGTCAATTAGCCTTCTTAATGTAGTTCCCCAACTCTGCTTATACAAAGGATAGTACTCTCCTTCCAAAAACTGATATTTTAGTAGAAAGTATCTTAACAGAGGCTTTTCTGGGGTACAGTATATCCCCATGGCAAAAATTATACTTCCCTTTCTTTTCTTGCATGAGGACTGAAATCTACTAATGGCTCAATCTGTGTCCAACCACTGGGAGCAAAGGTTGCCAGGTTTTCTGCAGAGCGAAGCAAGGCAGACTGCTTCTGCTTACTCAGTCTGGTGAAAACTGGCTAGGAAACTGCAGGCCTATATGAAGTCCCTTTCATGTGGGATCTGGTGATATCACAGATCTGTTGAGAACCAATAAACCCATGGAAAAATCATTATGGTAGTCAGTTACTGTGGGGGAAAGGCCACATTTCTGTGTAGCCACAGCCTCCAGAGAGGACGATGGGGGAAAGCAGTAACACTCCAGACATAATTCCCAGAGATGGATCCTTGTCATTCAGTAATGTCCGACCAAAACATTCAAGGGGTTGAAATGTTGTGACTGTGGTTGTTGCTTGCACTCAAACATTTATGAGATACAGGATGTGAACTGTCCCATGTGACACCTATCAATGACCAGTTGTGTATAAAAAGGACATGCCCAGGAACTCTAGTGGAAACAAAGAACCATGGGAGAGGGTCTTCTCTGCTGTAGCACCTCTGCTGTAGCCTAATTCAAACTCTTACAATGCTTTCATTTCAATGCCAAGTTAAACACAATATAATAATAATCATCATCATCATTATCCTGCTTTTCTCTCTCACGGGACCCAAAGCGGCTTACTACATATTAAAATCATGTAAACAACAATATATTCTTAATGCCTTTGGGTGGAATGCTTTTGTCCATTTATTTTTATTTATTTTTATTTATTATTTAAACTTATATGCCGCCACTCCCCTGGGGCTCGGAGCGGCTTACAAAACTAGCTAAAATCTAACAAAATTTAAAAAGCAATTTAAAACAATTTAAAAACAACACTATCAAACATTAAAAGCCTGTCAAAACAGGTATGTCTTACATGCCCTGCGGAAAGCTGGTAAGTCCGCAAGGCACGGACTTCAGGTGGCAGAGTATTCCAGAGTGATGGTGCCACTGCTGTGAAGGCTCTGCGTCTGGTTGCTGTTAGACGCAAGGTCTTGACACTGGGGACTTCCAATAGGTCTTGGTCCTCAGAACGGAGGGATCTCTGGGGTTGGCAGGGGGTGAGGCGGTCCCTCAGATACATCGGCCCCTGACCATGCAAGGCCTTAAAGGTGAGTACCATCACTTTGAAAGTGATCCGGTGCTCAACTGGTAACCAATGCAGCTGTAGTAAGATTGGGGTTATGTGGCATCTCATCGGAATTCCCGCAAGAAGCCGAGCAGCTGCATTTTGTACCAACTTGAGCTTCCGGATCACCGACAGAGGAAGGCCAATGTAGAGGGCGTTACAGTAGTCCAGTCTTGAGATGACCCGTGGCCTGGATCACCGTAGCTAGCCTGGACAGGTAGGGGGCCAGCCGTCTAGCCTGCCGCAGATGAAAGAAGGCGGTTCTGCTAACGGCGGAGACCTGGGCTTCCATCGTCTTTAAAGTAAAGGAGTCTTACTTTTTAACTTTTTGTAATAAATTATCCAGCTTAATATAATTTTAAACAATAGTATTTTTTCTACTTCATGTTTCAAATTGATGGAGCTAATTTCATTATATGATATCCTGATATAGAACAGAATATATATATGTCTTAATCAATCATAATAAAAATGGCTCAAAATCAATTTGACAGCACATTCTGCACCCATTTCACTCTAAATCCACTGTAAATTTTAAAAAGGAAAAACAGACTTCCTTGATATTGGAAGCATGATTGGCCTTACTTGACATTGTCAATCACTGGTGTTTTTGTGACACAAAATAGTCGATACAGCTGGGGATTCTGGGGTCCCTTCTTCATCTCTCCACTGGGTGAAGGGGGAGGAGAAAAGGGGGGAAACAGATCTCCTGGCTCCAGGACAATGTGCTCATCATCCTGTTTTTAAAAAAAGGAGACAAATTCCACCACAACTAAACAATATGGACACTTCAAAGAAGCCTTTGGAAGCACTTGTTTCTTGAGAACAGGATCAGTGAGAACATACTCTATGACCCATCATAGAAGTGGGCAAAATACACCTGCCCAGCCCCATCCTCATCCCAAAACACTTCCTATTTCTTAAATAAGTGTCTTTTTGTGCCCTCAAAAAAACCTATGGCTCTTTGTGGCTACTCTAACTGGCACAGTAGTTCTCTACTACAGTGTGCATTTTCTAAGATCATGAGTATAAATGTTCTTGTCATGATACCGATACACAAACTTCCTCTGACAACACATTTTTCTTATGTACTGTGAAGCATCAGGTTTAAATGATCGATTTTGGTTTTTAAAAGTGGCCTTTGATGGGAGGCCACTTAAGACACTTTGGGAGTGTCTTAAGCTGCAGCATTATTGAAGCTAAACTGATGGGTATAAACAAGACCGCCCTCTCAGAGAGGGGATAACTGATCATTCACACAACAATTGAAAAAATAGAAAATGTCTAGTTCTCATATTTATGTAGGGAAAAAAACATGAAAATATATCTGTTGAATGCTTTCCATTAAAACTCAGACCTTCAGGGTTATAGTAGTTCCTAGTCTTCACAGACCCTTTCTCTGTCTAACAGTCCCCATATAGTTATTCTCCTGACAGACAAAAAAAGAGGAAAGTGAATTACCTTAATCCCTCTAAGAGAAGTGAAAGATTCCTGCCCCGGCCTCAGAGCAACAACATCACCTTCTACTAACAAGCTAACTGGGAGATTGATGAGACGACCATCCCTGTAGACCCAGTGGAGGGACCATGATGGGGCAAAAGGCATGTGAACATCTGGGTACATGGTACTTGCCCAAATCGACTCTTTGCCATCTTTTAAGACATCTGGAAAGCAAAACAGCAGGGAAGGATAGCTACATGTCCAGAGTGTGGAAGGAATCAATTCTGGACTCACTCCAAGACCAAATCAGGCATGGCATACATTTCATGAATGCAATTAGAGTATAATTTCTGAAATCTAAACAGCAGCTGCAAGAGGAAGGAAGAGTAAGCAAAGAAAACTACAAAGAGAGGGAGGGAGGACTTAAACCTTTCCCCTGTCATAATCTCCCCATCACTCTAAGTTTTAAATGGTTTTTTGCTTTGGGAGGGAAGCATATATTGGTATCAGGGTGTCTTGAGATACCGCTGAAGCTAAAAGGGATAATTTTACCTGATTAGTTGCTGAGGGTGAACTTTCTTCTCATACCCTCCAATTGTTTGGGGCACCTTGCAGCTTCTCTCTTCCTGTCCCTCATCTCTCCCTCCCCCTCCATATATGTGTGGGTATGGGTGTCAATTGCAGCTGTACAATTTATGTAATAGTATATAACTACAGTAGAGTCTCACTTATCCAACATAAACAGGCCGGCAGAACATTGGATAAGTGAAAATGTTGGAGAATAAGGAAGGATTAAGAAAAAGCCTATTAAACATAAAATTACGTTATGATTTTACAAATTAAGCTACAAAACATCATGTTTTACAACAAATCGACAGAAAAAGCAGTTTAATACAAAGTAACATTATGTAGTAACTGCTGTATTTAGGAATTTAGCACCAAAACACTGCAATGTATTGAAATAGCTGTGGATCTGGGCGGGAGGCAGACTGCGTTGGATAATACCAAAAGTTGGATGAGCGAAGGTTGGATAAGCAAGACTCTACTGTACCAGAATAAAAAAATCTTTTTCAGCATTTGCACAGGATCGCCACCAGATAACCTACTGCTGCATATTTCCTCAGTAATATTGTAAAAGGCTCTATAAATCAGAACATTTATAAAGCAATGAGTTTCATCTGGCATTGAGAGAGCACAGTGGGTAAAGTTGTGAAATACAATATTGAAAGCACTGTAACTAACAACCCAAATCAGAGACTCAGTTTTCCAAGAACAGGCAAATCACAGCCCTCAGATATTTGTGGACTACAGGTTACAGTGTTCTTCACTTCTAGTCTGTGGTTGCAAGGAGCTACTGTCCAACATCACTATACCATCCTGCACTATCCCCAAACAATGTAAGAAGGCAATAAACCAAAATAGATAGATACATAGATAGATAGATAGATAGATAGATAGATAGATAGATAGAGGATAGATAGATAGGAAAACAGATAGATGCCAATTGCAAAGCAAGCAATAGGCCAAGATAAAGGTCTAGTAATGGGAATCAGGAAGAAGAAATGGTATGACTGGGTAAAGGGAGATCTAACGGCTATGAGATGTAAGGCATGGCCATCTCTGGGACATTCAGGGACAGGACTACTGAAAAGAACTTTGGCATCACCATCATCAAAATAAGGTATTAAGGCACAGGTTTGCCTTTGGGGAGATGCAGCTACACATACATGCAGAATAACAAAGAAGGACCAATTCAGTGGAAGGGAGGGCTCACCATCTATTTTGTTGATAATGTTCCGAAGCCGCCATTCAACTTCCCGACGCTTCAACCCCTCTTGCCGCCCAATCAGGAAAAGATCCAGAAGGACCAGCAGGAACAAGGCCAAGGCATTTACAATTTCAGAACCTTCACTGTTTAGAGCAAACATAGGTCTTTACAGTCAGTTAGGACAGTAGTCATAAATAGTGCAATGTCTGCCTTTGTTCCAAGAGCAAGCAACCTTCAGTCCTTCTAAGGCCAACCTTCAGAATCAGGATAGTTGAAACCATACATTCCCAGCAGCAAAAATAATGATTTTGTCAGGATAAAGTCACCTATGCTTAAAATTGTCAGAACTCTCAGGTCCTTAGAAGCTAAATGGCCAGTGAGGGCACCAAGTGAATTACCTCTATCAGATTGATGGTTCTATTACCTGGGGCAAAGGAATTACAAATGGTTCCTAAGTAGGTTCATTTTTTTTTCATGTCAGGAGTGACTTTAGAAACTTCTGGTGTGAGAGAATTGGCCATCTGCAAGGACATTACTCAGGGGACACCCGGATGTTACGCAAGCCTGTGGGAGGTTTCTCTCATGCCCCCGCATGAGAAGCAAGAGCTGACAGATGGAAGCTCACCCTGCTCCCCAGATTCGAATCACCAACCTTTCGGTCAGTAGGCCTTGCCATTACAAGGGTTTAACCAACTGCGCCACCGGCTCCTGGTTCATGTATGAAATTGTTTCATTCAACCCCATCAACTACACAGGGCTCACAGAAGGGGTTCAGTCGTCTCCCACTGTTCTCTTCCATGTCTTTGGCCTCTCTATCCTTCCCTCCCCCTCTCACTTCCTCCATTCCATCCTAAACAGGGATTTGTCAAACAGGAGCACTAGAAAAAGAAGGTGTACCCTAGAGATCAGATCTGAATAAGGAGACCCTTTAGAGGAGTATTTTGGTTAGTGGAGGCAAAAAGCAACCTGTAAACAACTTTGATGAAGCCTATGTGTTTTTCGAACTATGAAAAGAAACTGTATTAAGATCCTTTAAAGACTTGTTTGCTAAACACATAATAATATGGGCATGGGACAAAGAAGTCAAGCTGAAGACTCTCTTCAAACATATTATGCTATTCAAATGCCTGGATATTTATATATTATAGTAATTTATATCCTGCCTTTCTACCAATAATGGGACTCAAAGCAACTATTTTATTTATTTACTTTATTTGTATACCGCTGTTCTCAGCCCTTAGGCGACTCATAGCGGTTCACAACAAGAACAACAGAAATTCCATACCATAACACAGTATAAAAAACAGTTAACATCATAACATATTATAGAAAAGTATACAATTAACAACAATATACAATTAACACCAATAGCCATTCGCTAGCATCTCATCACTAAAAACATGATCCAGATCCGTCATCCATTGTTCCAATCCAATGTTCATTACCTTCATTGCACTAATTATTTGAACGCCTGCTCAAACAACCAGGTTTTCACTTTTTTGCGGAATACCATTAATGATGGAGCTAGTCTAATGTCCGTTCCACAGCCGCGGGGCCACCACCGAGAAGGCCCTATCTCTCGTCCCCGCCAGCTGTGCCTGTGAGGCAGGCGGGATCGAGAGCAGGGCCTCCCCGGAAGATCTCAAAGTCCTGTTGGGTTCATAGGCAGAGATGCGGTCGGATAGGTAGCTTGGGCCGGAACCGTTTAGGGCTTTAAAGGCCAACGCCAGCACTTTGAATTGAGCCCGGTAGCAAATCGGTAGCCAGTGGAGTTGGTGCAGCAGGGGGGTTGTATGCTCCCTGCGCTCCGCTCCTGTTAGAATCATGGCTGCCGAGCGTTGGACTAGTTGAAGCTTCCGAGCCGTCTTCAAAGGCAACCCCACATAGAGAGCGTTGCAGTAGTCTAAACGGGATGTAACCAGAGCGTGGACTACCGTGGCCAAGTTAGACTTCCCAAGGTACGGGCGCAGCTAACAATGCATTTAAAACTGTACCAGTTAAAAACATTAGTAAAAGTGAAAATATTATACATTACAAGTACAAGTCGAGTATCCCTTTATCTGAAATGCTTGAGACCAGAAATGTTTTGGTTTTCAGATTTTGGAGTACCATATTTGCATATATGCATATAATAAGATATTGTGGAGATGATAACTCAAATCTACATACAAATTCACTTATATTTTATGTATATCTTATACACATAGCCTGAAATTATGCTAAATAGCTTTAGTAATTTTGCACACTGAACCATCAGAAAGCAAAGATATCACTATTTCAGCCACCTATGTGGAAAAGCTCAGGTTTTGAGGAATTCCAGGTAAGAAATGCCCATCTTGTATTACAATTCATTGAGAGACTATATACAAACGTCAAACACAGGCTCTGAATTATGAGACACCATATTTTAAAATCAGGGTTTAAGAAAGGGTAGTCCTTTGTAACCTGTGAGTTTTATGATGGATTTCTGTAGGCCAGGGATCCTCAAACTTTTTAAACAGAGGACCCAGTCACAGTCCCTCAAACTGCTGGAGGGCTCAATTATAATTTGAAAAAACATGGACGAATTCCTATGCACACAGCACATATCTCATTTGTAGTGTGAAAAAACACTTAAAAACAATACAATGATTAAAATGAAGAATAATTTTAACAAATATAAACTTATTAGTATTTCAATGGGAAGTATGGGCCTGCTTTTGGCTGATGAAATAGGATTGTTATTGTTGTTTTGTTGTGTGCTTTCAAATAGTTACAGACTAAGGCTGACCCTGAGTGAGGGCTGGGTAAATGGCCTTGGAGGGCCGTATTCGGCCCTTAGTTTGAGGACCCCTGCTGTAGGCCCTGTATATTCATTTGGCTTTCTCACTATCTGACTGTAGACATGATGTCAAGATGTTATTTGTTCTGTGGAAATGAGACACCATGATAATTTTAGATGATCTGGGTTCTACGGCTGAATGTGTACTGATTGGGGGCTTTTTAAAAGTCCAATGATTAAAAATACTGTCATGTTTTTTATTGAACATTAGCTCTCTGTAAGATCCCTTATGAATGAAAGATCAAGAAAAACAGCAACATTCTAATAAATAAAAACAAATAGCTGACCTTCCTTGTGGCTGGCTCCCATAACAGCATAATAGTAGCAATACTGCCAACAGCATTAAGGATGCTCCCGGCCAATGGAAACAAGAGCAACGGTTGCCATGGTACAAGAAACTGGTCTTCCACACTTCCTACCAAGGGGAAGAGCAAAGCAAAGGGGCTGCATCAACAAAAAGGAATCTGGACTTTGTCGATGCTTGCTATAAAGTATGAGAGGGATGCTGAAAGAAGCCAGTCCTCTTTGGGAATAAACTTGGCAAACAAACAATTATTTCTTCATACTTTCCTTCAGCATTTATGTACACAGAACAGAGACTTCCATCCCATTGTCAAACAAGCAGTTTCACTAAAAAGCAAAAAGCTTCAGCATCCTACCTACAGATCTGTGAGCTGGCCCCTCCACACAGGAAAGGCCATTAGAGGCTTTGTGGCCCCATAATAATGTCTGGCACTGGCTGCTCCAACTAGGGGGACCCAGAGGGTTGGCAACAAAGACATCTCACCTATATCCCACGTAGAGTGAGTAAGTAGGAGAAATTAGGTCTCTTAAATCAGATTAAATTCAGTGTTCTTCTCTTCCTCTGACCACTGACTTCAGGAAGACAAGAGCCACTGTTGATTTAACTACTTAAAGCTACATGTGCCATCCTCCAGCTTTAATAATGAAAAACTCTTATTTTCTCCAGTAATGTACAATGTGTACCTCAGTTGGGAATGTACTCCAGGAATGAGAATTGTGTGGCCTATCAAAAGTTGTTGGACTGAACCTTCCAGCATTCCTTACCAGTAGCTATGCTCACTCAGGTGGTAGGAGGTTGAAATCTAAGAACATCTGGAAAGCCACTCAGTTGTAATATTTTTCAAGACAAGTACATAACCCATTATAAAAATCATCTCAGCTACCCACAACTGTAATGCTTACCTTCCATGAAACTACCTTCTTCCGATCCTTCTGATGCCCCTCCAAGAGTGTTGAGAGTTGGTCTCTCAGGACAGTAAGTGCCTTTGTTGTGGTCAGACCCAAATTTGCAGTCATCTCATCCTGAAGAACAAATAAGCAAACACAATAATGTTCTTCAACTTTTCCTATCGGTTTCTCAGTAATCCCCCATAACCACTGCAGGCACTGAAACTGGCCTGATTAATGGAAAAAATATCTAAATCTAGTATCTAGGAAAACATCACATTCTGCAACAAATAAAACAAGATTGAATCCTGAACTTTGTGATTGCTTTCGTGTGTGTGTGTGTGTGTGTACTTTCACGTTGCCCATTGATTTATGGCAACCTTATGAATTTCATAGGGTTTTCTTAGGCAAGAAATATTCATGGATGGTTTCGCCACTTCAATTGAAATATAACCTAAAATACCTGGTATTTGTTGGCAGTCTCCCATCTAAGTACTAACTTACCTTCCAAGATCAGAACAAATCAGGTACTTTTAGGCTATTTAGACAAGCATTCCCCTCTATTCAAGATAATAGCAGATATAGAAAATTCATAGACATCATTCCTACTTTTACTGCAAACCAGAGTAGGCATATTGTATCAATGCAAATTACTAAACTGTTGACCTCATAAATTGTCACTGATTCCATGGATCTAATCTAATTGGGACTGATTAGGCCACAGATTTGTCTTTGTCTTCTCCTCAGGCTCCCACATCTTTCAAGGACTTTGATCACATAACAATGGATCATTTAATCTCAACTCAGTACCAATGGCACTGTCTGCCAGCACTAACCACCAATAAATTTTCTTCTGAATTGTTTCATGCTAGTAGGTAAAAATGCAAGAGAATTATCAAGCAAGTCCAACCATCCCTTGTCAAACATTACACAAGAGCCATTACTCAGATGTAAAATTGTCAAGCCAGGTACCACGCATTTTATTTTTTCTTCCAAAGTGTAGGATTCTACATTTCTCCTTACTGAAATTAATATTGTAAATTTTGTCCCAGCTCCGTAATCTGTCATGGTCATTTTGAATTCTGATACTGTCTTCTGTAGTATTAGCTATCCCTCCCAATTTAATGTCATCTGCAAACTTCATAAGCACACCCTCTAAACCAGGGGTAGGGAACCTTCGGCCCTCCAGGTGTGGTGGACTTCAACTCCCACAATTCCTTGAGGCTCGGCATTCGCCCCAAAGGCTTACACGAGCCTCAAGGAATTGTGGGAGTTGAAGTCCACCACACCTGGAGGGCCGAAGGTTCCCTATCCCTGCTCTAAACCTTCATATAAATCATTAATTAAGATGTTGAAAGCACTGGGCCCAGGACAGAACCCTGAGGCACCCTACTGGCCTCCTCTTTCCAGGATGAAGATGAACCTTTTGGTTTTGTCACTTAACAAATTCACCTAACAGTAGTATTGTCTAGCTCACATTTTACTAGTTTGTTTGCAAGAATATTGGAGAACCTTGTCAAAGGCCTTACTGAAATCAAGATATGCTACATCCACAGCATTCCCTCCATCTACCAAGCTTGTAACTCTATAGATAAAAGTGGTAAGATTAGTCTGGCAATTACTTGTTTTTGAGAAATCCATGCTGATTTTTAGTAATCACAGCATTTTTTCTAAGTGATTACAGACTGCCTCCTTAATTATCTGCTCCAGAATCTTTCCTGGTATTGATGTCAGGCTGACTGGACAGTAATTATTTCGGTCCTCTTTTTTCCCTTCTTGAGGACAGGGAGAACATTTGCTCTCCTCCAGTCAGCTAGGGAAACTTCTTCCATTCTCCAAAAAATCTCAAAGATTCTTTCCAGTGGTTCTGAAATGAAGTCTGCTAATTCCTTCAATACAGTTCATCTGGCCCTAGACACTTGAATTTGTTTGAAGTAGCCAGGTATTCCTTAACTACTTCTTTATTTACATTGGGTTGCATTTCTCCTATTGCTGCATTCACGCCATATTGTTCAGATTGTACACTGATTTTCTTTTGGGGAAAGATTAAGGCAAAGAAGGTGTTATGCAGCCCTGCCTTTCTCTATCCCCTGTTAGCATTTCACCACCTTCTCCATGCAGAGGCCCTACTGTTTCATGGTTCTTCCTTTTTTTACTGACATAATGAAATAACACCTTTTATTGTTTTTAAGTGTTTTTAATCTCTCTGGCAAACCTGAGTTCATTTTATGCTTTAGCCCAGGGGTCCTCAAACTTTTTCAACAGAGGGCCAGGTCACAGTCCTCAAACTGTTGGAGGGCCGGATTATAATTTGAAAAAAACATGAATGAATTCCTATGCACACTGCACATATCTTATTTGTAGTGCAAAAAAAACCCACTTAAAAACAATACAGTAATTAGAATCAAAGAGTTGGAAAAGACCTCATGGGCCATCCAGTCCAACCCCCTGCCAAGAAGCAGGAATATTGCATTCAAATCAAAATTAAAATGAAGAACTATTTTAACAAATATAAACTTATTAGTATTTCAATGGGAAATGTGGACCTGCTTTTGGCTGATGAGATAGGGTTGTTGTTGTTGTTGTTGTGTGCTTTCAAGTTGTTTCAGACTTAGGTTGGCCCTGAGCGAGGGCCAGGTAAATAACCTTGGAGGGCCTTATCCAGCCCCTGGGCCTTAGTTTGAGGACCCCTGGCTTTAGCCTTTTGGACATAAATGAGGTATTCGTTATTTCCTTGAAGTCCTCTTTGGTCATTTCCCCCATTTCCATTTCTTTAACATGTCCCTTTTCAATCTTAGCTCAGTTAAAATCTTAACTCAGCAGGTAAAGACCTTTCTAGTTAGACATGTTTTCAGCAACTGAACAATTAATACAGGGAGCTGTTATTATAGAGGTTCTGTATTTTTCTTAATGACATTCTTTCTTTTTACATTCCATCTTTAATTTAATAGTGTCTTTCATCTGGTTTTGTGTTCAATCATATATGTATTCAATGTAATATAAACTTCCCTGTGTCCCAAATTGACAGAGGGGATGAATATAAATCAAGTAAATACATTACCAGTATGTTTGTGGAACAATATATTCTAGTTAGCCTATTTTGTACCGTCATCCACCCTTGCCACAAGAACACATATTAGTGTCATTGTGTCTTTGTCTTGAAGTTGCCTGCACTTTTAGGCAAGAAATACTCAAAAGGAGATTACCATTGCCTTCGACCCCGTTTAAGGAGCTCCATTGGCTGCAGTTCATTTTCTGGTCCCAATTCAAGGTGCAGGTTATCACCTACAAAGCCCTAAATGGTTTGGGACCCGGCTACCTTTATAATCACATTTTCTTCTACAAATGTGCACGATCTCTTCGATTGTCCGGGGAGGCCCTCCTCTTCCACCTCCGTCGCAAGCACGGCTTATGGGGGCAATGGAGAGGACCTTCTCTATAGTGGCTCATCAGCTCTGGAGCTCGCTACCCAGGGAGATTAGCAAGCACCCACTCCTTTAGGAAAAGCCTAAAAACCTGGCTTTTCTGGTGTGTCTTTAAGGAATGAACAACAAATCCCTATACTATGACCATCCCAGTACAAATTTGTCCTTTCGATGCACTTTATCTCATCCCTCAATGAAAATCAACCCCATCGTTTGTCCCATCTGAATCTCCCACTAGATACACTACTCTATTTATCTATCTCACCAAGGGTTTTATTATTTTACTCCTTGCATTTGTTTACCCTATTGTATTATTTTGTTATTGTTTGCATTTGATTTAATGTTATTATTTGTTGTATGTATTTTACTTTGCTTATTGTAATTCTTGGGCTTGGCCTCATGTTAGCTGTCCCGAGTCCCCTTGAGAAGATGGTAGAAGGGTATAAATAAAGATTATTATTATTATTATTATTATTATTCTACTGAAATATAGGTTGCAACAGCGCTACTCAAACTGGAGATCTGTGCAGTAGTGCCAGTTTGTGAGTCATCGGCGGCTGATCTATGACACTTAACCAGAAAACAAATAGGTACACAATGGACAGAACTATGGCAGTAGTTCTTGGCATATTGATGGGGGGAGGGGGGATCTTGCCAACCCACCACATTAATAAGTACAGCCTCTAGTATTCCCTGGTGGCTTCTTTTTCAAATACTAAAGAGCCTGACTCTGCTTAGCTTCCAAGATCAGATGAGATTTGGCGCTTTCAGAATACAGTATCTAGGCTTCATGTCATTATGCCCAACAAGAAAGCATTGCTACAACAGAGGAATTCTTGAGATGCCTCTTGTATTGGAGTTTCTTCCTTAGAGTAGTGCATTAAGAAGCAAAGGGACCTCATACCTGGCAGGAAAAGGGTTTATACCTGTTTTCCAATCTTGCTTCCCACACACAGCGGGCTAGAATTATAGGGCATGGATACTCTTACTCTCTTATTAATCTTCTAGGTGCCATAAGCTATAAGGAAGCCATGCTTTTAACAGCAAAATACACAAAAATGCTTTCCTGTTCCTCTGGTATATTTCTGGGCAGGCTGAAAAGAAGACTCCCCAGTAGGTTAATTAGCAAGAAGAAAAACACCATTTACAGTAGATGTTTCACTGCAGGGACCAAAATATCTTGGCGGCAGCTCCTCTGCAAATAAAAGACTAAACCCTATCCTTAGAATTCACAGAGGGCACAAGGGGGCATGCTGTGGACACTGAAAGGCAATGATAAAATATGGATGAGTCTTGGACTGCTGGCAGCTAGAACTTCTAGGAAGATGTTGCTAATGCTCCTGCCCCAGGGAATACAGATCTGCCTCTGCAAGGCATGATCACAATTGAACAAGGAAGTTAAGCCGCACAAAATCAGCATGGGTCCACACTTCTTAAGAAGGGCTTTAACCACCACACCAATCTGAGCTCACAACTTCCAAAGTCTCCCCCTCAATCTCTTCTCAGCATTTGAAGATGCAAATCCCTCTGCAGTGGTACAAATGTCTAAAAGAAGCAAATGTTCATAAAGCACAGAGAAGCCTGCATCTCTTGCTGAGCTAAGAATAAAACCTGACATAATTCTCCTTCTGCTTGGTTGACTGTATGCATTTCAAAGCACAGGGTTCTTTAGTTTCTGTTGGATGAGGACCAGGGGACAACAACTCAGGG